CAAACTGGTATCCTAGTTTCCTAATACGAAATCCTAACCCTTTAGAATTCCGAAACCCTATCACACAAGAGTTCTCAAGTTACTCTCAATTTCCAAGAAAAAGAAACATGCTGGTATCCCAGTTTCTCAGCACAAGAACTGGTATCCAAGTTTCCAAGTATAGACCTTCAAAAAGGTCAAGAAGAAAATTACAATTAAAGTATTTACCTCAGTGCTTCTTTTCCTTAAGCAGATAGGTAATCTGAATTCCTATGGAGAAATATTCACTTTGCCAAAGGATGAATGTATGAATGATTGTTCTTGAGAAAACTCTTCAATTGATGCACAAGAAAAAATCCTAATCTTTAAAATCTAATTCTCTTCTTTCTTTCTTGTATATACTTCTCTCATCTCTCTCTTGTATTTTCTCCTCTCTTTTCTCTCTTGTATTTTCTCCTCTGTGAAATAATATGCAATGAGCCATATTTATAATAATAACATTTTAATCTATTATGCAATGCAATCCTAATCAAATCTTTGACAAAGAATATTTTATTTCTCTTACATGAAATCTAAAAAGATAAACTTTTTCCTAATCTTTACTTGATCCCATGCTTTTTCTCTCTTCATGATATATTCAATATCTTCTTCAATTTTCACGCAATCTTCAATTATCTTGAATACTATTTCAAATTAGAATAAATATTATTCTGAAATCTCAAACAATCAGCTCATTAGTAATTTCAAGACAATAAAATATTATCAATTAAATTAGGGGTTTGCTTTCCTTATTTAACATGACCACAAAAAATTTCCTACACACAATATTTTGTGGGACCCACATGTTTTGAAGAAAAAAAAAAGCTACGGCACACAAAACAAATCTCTATAACATAACACAATCATTTTTCCTACAACATAACTCTTATAAAACCCATTAAATTAACATTAAATTGATTGTAATCATCAAAACATATTTTAAATCAATTAAACAATTGAAGTATAACAAACATCCAACCTACAGTTGACGTTAAAACCTCTGTTGGACCTAACATTAGGCTAACGACAACACATGGATCTATGAATACAAGGCTTATTATAATGAGACCCAAAAAATGTAGTTAAACCACCAGAAAAAAAAAAATACAAGCCCAATGGAGTACTCCTGATACTTACATAGTTACATTGCAACCCAAATAAAACACAAAAAATAATAGTTCTAGATATCGCTGTCTAACTGGTAACTGCTTTTCTCGCTTGCTATATATACGTCCTTAGGGAATGAAAAGCAAAATAATTAGTGCTTAAACATATATAGATGTATACAGATATATATGAATCTATGATTATGAGTTACAATGGATGTCTAAAAATTTGGTCAAACAGCAAAAGTGGGTACACAATGAGTAGGGGTGTAAATGAGATAAACTAGGTTGAGTTTTGGTTTAAATAGATTAAACTTGTGTAAAATGGGAGTGAATTATCTCATGTGAAAAAATAGTCATGTGATCATGTTATTTGATCAAAATCATTCATTGATGATGGATAAGAGAGAAAAAAGTACATAATTTTTAAAAGAGTGATTGTGATCAAATAATATGGTCACATGACCACTTTTTCACATGAGAGCATTCACTCTCGTGTAAAATACTATAGATATGATCTTATATGTTAGCTTGTATAGGCTCAAATTATAAGTCTGATCTAATATAGGTCAAGCTTTATATATACTTTTATATTTTAAAAACAAAAGTTTTGGCCTAGATCTGTTAGCTTGATTAAGCCTGTTAGGTATTTAATAATTAAAATAATATCATTTTATTATTTAAAATCATTAAAGTAATAATTTTATTTAAAATAAATAATATGATATAGGCCAACCTATAGGCTTATTATAGGCTCGACATGTGAAAGAAAACATACGACTTGTTTTCTGAATGTTTTTTTAAAAGTTTAAGTCTCTTATATTTGATTATGGGAAAAGTGTGTGTCATTTTAAAGGATGTAAAACTATGTCATTTTAAGTGAGAGAAAGACATAAATCATGGGAGAAAGAGTGGACAAAAAAAAATAAAAATTGTGAGAGTGAAATAACACAAGTTTATCATAGGAAATAAACTATTTCATTTTTTCCTTTGATTATATATAATATGTGAAGTCTGATCTGATCAGTAGGCTCCTATTATGCTGTCTGTCTCATTTATACACCTAATGAGCATTATGAATTTATTGATATTCGAATATTACATCAAATGTTTCTCTAAAAAATTTAGATACCACTAATTTACAAAGTCAATGATGTACAATATATTGGTTTGTTTTTGTTAATGCAAATCCAGTTTTTTTTCTTTCTAAAATAAAAAAAAAAAAAAAGTTGATGCCTGACAACATAACTTAGCTGCGTCTTAAATGCAACAATAAATATTTTGTCTTTTTTTCTCTCTCTCTTACATTCTCTCTCCAGTGGATCCTGTGACAATCTCTAAATAAAAGAGGAGAAATATACTCTGGACTATGACGGTTATATAGCCTTAATATTATAGGACAATCTAAATCATAATTATTTATTTTTTTCTCAATTGTATCGCTCAGTCTCACCATTCACCAATAGGATCACTTGATTTGTTTAATGCTACCCATGTTAGCTTAATCACTGTATTTAACAGTAAGTTGTGAAGCTATACGTGATGCCTGACAACATGACATAGCTACATGTTAAATGCAACAATAAATGTTTCATTTTTTTTTTTCTTGCTTCTCTTCCATGTGGATCATGTGACAATCTCTAAAGAAAAGGAGGAGGAATATTGCCTAGACTATGACGATTATATAGCCTTAATTACGGAGAAATCTAAATTACAAATAATTTTTTATTTCAATTGTATCGCTCACCAATAGGATCACTTAATTTGTTTAATTGTCACCCATGTTCATTTAATCACTGTATTTAACAGCAAGTTATGGAGCCGTGAGCTAGTGCTTCCCAATTAATTATGCATCAAATTATTATTTCTACAAGGAATGTCCATTCTGTCGCGCTCATTTTATTTCCAGTGTCTGTTCGGGATATAGAAATTACTCTTCTAGAGTCTTTTATTAAAGCGTGTCACGTTAATTAATCGTGTTGATCCGGCTTCTTTTAATCATATACTTTTCAGGCTTAGCAATAATACATATTTTTAATCGAATGCATTTTGCATCTGGATTAACGACGACTTTTTTCTTGATGTCAAACATTGGGCTGATACCATATATAGCAGCAATGCGGAGTGAGAAAATTTAATAAAATCATCAGGAGAGAAATTAAATTAGGAGAAAATTATATTTATAAATTTTTGTTTTACAAACTACACTATATCTTACCATAAGACTTCACTCAAGATAAGACATAGTGTAATTTGTAAATTTGTAAAATAAAAAAGTTTTAATATAATTATATAACCCTCCTCACTAAATTATGGTTTCCACTTTGAAAGTTAGTTGAAAAACACATTATTATAAAACAAGAAATAAAAAAAAAGACATCTTATCAAAATATGGGTTTAATAATCTTTCTAATTACTTAAGGGAGAAATTTAAAAACGGATTGACACTCTTAAAAGTAAAGAAGTATTAATGTAAATGTTTTTTTAGTTTTGAAGTAATTACGAGTTGTTAAGAATACGAAAAAACAATATTTTGAAATTCCGAAAAATACTAAATGCACACATATTTTGAAATTTATTTATTTTAAACAAATATGAAGGATTATTAAATAATATTTTAAGAGTAATATTAGACTAATTCAAGAAAATTAAGAATTTAAGATTTCCTCATAATTTATTTTTCTGTCTTTTTATAATGAACCCTCAGGGGCTGTTTGGTATGGGGTAATATAGTGGATGTCCAGGAATTATGAAGTGGGAATTATTTATGCACACATTTGGTAGAAGGAAATCAGAAAATATGACTGGATATAGTTTAATCCCTGGCATCCACTTTACACTATCATTTTTGATTTCTGATTCCCCTTTAGAAGATGGTAATCATGAGTTCCCAGTTTTTGGATATTTTGGGTGCAATTTCTCAGACTATATTACCCTCAAGCCCTAGCTTATCACTTGTGCCACCAGAAACAAATCGTGTCTTGGAAAGGAATGAGGCTCTCGAGCGTAGGTTGACCGAAACTGGGTTGTGGTTCACAGATAAATTATATGAGGACATGTTTACCTGCACAACGAAAATAGAAAAGTTCTTGTATTGATCTCCCTGAAGCTGTATGACCTGCATCCGTACCAAATTGGCGTATAGGCTTTCATTGATAAAAATGATGCACCTAGTGACAGATATGTTAAAAATCACAAAAAATGTGCCAAATCGTCTTGAATAAAAGTTATTCTTAACCAGGGTAATTTTGTCAAATTTCATCATATTCCCAGTAATATTTTATTTTCAACCAAACATCTCTACAGAAAAATTAATTAATATTCTCAGTAATATTTTATCCTACCAAACACATTTTTTGTAAAATACCCAGATACTTTTTATTCCCCCCATATTCCAAGTAATTGTGATTCCAGGATCCAAAAAAATTTCTCTAGTACCAAACGCCCCCTCAATGTCAGCCGCATGGAGGAAATGAAAAATTGCTAATCAGATACAATGATGCTGGCTAAGACTTTTGAGTAAAAAAGCAATATTCTAAAATCTTATTAGTCTCTCTAAACTCGTTTGCAACAAGAACGTGACAAAAAATAGAAATAGCGTCGTCTTCTGGCAGAGTTTCAGTTACCAGTTCAGCACTACCTCTGGTTCAAATGTATTTTTCAATGCTAACATCCAATAGTAACAAACAAAGCAGGGGGAAAAGAAACACACTACCATCACTTTTGCATTTTTATCTTTTTTTATCGTTTCTTTTTGCTTTTTCTTATTCCTCTTGTTTGGATTGCATTATCTACAAAAGAGAGGGGACAGAAACAGAAAGAACGAAACAAAAAACGACTATAAAACGCCACCGTTAACGGCGTTTTAATCCCGTACTACTACGGTGGCTGCACCGCCACCGAAACTATTTCCACATTTTAGATCTGCTGCTACATTTTAGATCAACTAAGAGCGGCGATTTCTATGGCGGAAGTTGCGGTTTTCGCGGGAGTCGGCGATTCCTTGGACGGCGGAGACGCCGGCAACCTCGCCGAGAAACTCCTGAGGTCATCGAAGGTCCTCTCGTCGGTGGCGTCGTCTTCGAAGTTCAAGGCGTAACTGAGGGCGTCGTACTGGAAGTCGGCGGAGTGGCGACGGCGGTGGCGGCCGATCCGAGAGATGAAGTTGCAGCACTTCTCCTTGAGGTGCGGGAAATCGGTGGAGCGGGACTTGTTGTGGAGCGAGGAGCTCCGAACAATCCTCGGCCTCACGCGGCGGTTAGGGAAGCAGTACGATAAGCAGAGGGAGGATCTGAGTTTGTTCTTGAGAGAGTGAGGAGAACCAGGACTCAATTCTTCTTCCGCCATGAATGCAAATGAGAGAATCTTTTGGAATGCAAAGACGAGAGAGAGAGAGAGAGAGAGAGAGAGAGAGAGAGAGAGAAAAGGAATGAGTTTGGTAAATAGGTGAGAGGGAAAGGAAGGAGAGGTGAAATGACGAGAAAGGATACGGTGGTTGTTTTGGAGGGGTCACGGAAAAGAACGGTCCAAACAAACCGGCTACTTGGAAGGGAATCGCGTTATGCAGAAGGGTATTTGCGTCAATCTGCTGAGTAAATATCAGTATAGTAACGGCTTGCTAAGCCTAACGCCTGTGAATTCTCTTCTACCCTGCTTTGTCCATATCTTGTTTTGAGTACGTAGAAAAGCTTTTCCTTTTCTCTTGTTTGCTATTTTACATTGAATTTTCCTTTAAACAAACACTTTTTTTATAATTCATAAGAAATAGAATAAAATTGAATATGTTATTCTACCTATTTTTTTCATGCTTATTCTATATATTACTTTCAACACTATTAGATTAGAATTCAAACTAATATTTTATTATTTTTCTCTTATTCTAAGATTTTGATCTAACAGTTATGGAGATTAGTAAATAAAGTAAACATAAAAAAGAAAAATAGGTGCAAAATTCTATCTGGAAAATATTGCTCTCTTTTTATATAAGGTAACTTATCTCATTTTCTCTCACTTCGATTCCTCCACTTCACTTTTTTTTCTTTTTCTTTTTTCTTATAATGGTGGGACTCACTCAGTTTCTCTCTACAATATAAGATACATATCTTATGTAAAAGAAGATTAATAAAACCCTAAAATAATATATACTTTTACTTACCAGTTTAATTTTTATAACTAAAAAAAAATATATGTAATTTTGTCTATTTTTTTATTTATGTCTACGTACAGTATTCGAAAGTAATCGATAAGGTAGGTATAAAAAAAATAAGTAAAATAACATATCTCTTGAAAAAAATAATGTACCACAAAAAATTAAAAAAAATAGAAAATCAGTGCCTCTCACTATTACTGTATTACTATTAGCATATTTATCATACATGAATATTGAATTATCCATGCTGATGGAGAAACAAATATTCCTTTATTTGGTGTTTATTATAAACGACTTTTTTCAAGTAGCAATTTTTTTTTTTTTTTTGGTAACAATCAAGTAGCAATTAAATTATCTTCTCAGACTCACATTTTAGTTTTTTTTTTTTTTTGAAAAATGTAATACCAAAACACATTTTTAAGTTATTTTTTATATACATGGTTCTCAAATTTAAAATAAGACAAGTTGTCATTTTCAATTATTATTACATAAAGATTTGACTTGCATCACCCACATAAAAAATATCTCTTTATTATCCAAAAAAATAAAATGTTTAATTTCATATATATTTATTTATTCTACTATAAAGGGATTATATCATTGTCGATCGTATTTTTTAACAAATTATTATTACTACTTAATTAAACTTAAATGTAGAAAAATTACATAAAAGTATAAAAGTTTCATTTTAATGCACTGTTTACTCACTACTAAAAAATGCATTTTTTTCGACGGGAAAATTCCGTCAAAAATGGTTAAAATTCTGTCGAAAATAAAGTTTTCGACGGAAATGAAGCTGTGGTATATCTCTTCGTTGATAACAATTTTTTCGACAAAATTAGAGATTCCGTCGAAAATTTTCAATGGAAAATCAATAAAATTCTGTCGAAAATTTCTGTGATAGCTTTCGACGGAAAAAGGATTCCGTCGAAAGTTTTTGAAAATCTACAAATTTTCGTTGAAAACTGATGTAAAGATTTTCGACGTAAAACAAATTTCGTCAAAAATTTTCAACGAAAAATCAATGTAATTCCGTCGAAAACTGATGTAAAGATTTTCGACCGAAAATAAATTCGGACGAAAATTTTCAACAGAAAATCAATGTAATTCCGTCGAAAATTGTTGAAAAAGTTTTCGACGAAAAATGAATTTCGTCCAAAGTTTTCGATGGAAGATCAATACATTTCTGTCGAAAATTGATTTGAAGATTTTCGATGAAAAACATTCCGTTAAAAAAAATTAGAATTTATTTTTTAAAATTTCTCTTTACAAAATGAATACCAATTTTCTATACTACACGCAATAAAAAAATATAATCAAAATAAATAACATATCAAAATCAAATCACCTTAATCAAAATCAAATTCCTTAATCAATACAATAAAATCAAATCTCATTTGCCTTTATCTCCTTAACAAATAAATATATTTTGTAACCTTAAAAAATTAACAAATAAAATTATAACATATCAATACACAACGCAAAACTGACTTTATAATTCAACGTAATAAATTCTTCTCAGTCTTTTTTGAACTTCATATCAATATACAATCCTTTTATTCATTGGCCTTTTTCTCCGTCTCTGACCATACTGACCATCTTCTTCATTAGGAGCTTCACCTTCCAACTTGGAACTGTCTACGATGGAGGAAATGCCTAATTAATAAAATCACATCATAGTCAATCCCTAAGATCATGTATATTTTAAGATCATATTTTAAAATAAATTTAAGAAAGAAATAAACACAATAAGAAATCCTAACACTACCATTTAATTTCTTTTTCTTTTTATTTTTTTCAAAAGTTTTCGACGGAATTCCTTTTCCGTCGAAAAGTCCACAAATTTTAATTTCTTTTATTTTTTTCAAAAGTTTTTGACGGAATTCATTTTCCGTCGAAAATCTTCGACGAAATCAAAATTTCGTCGAAAATCTTCGACGAAATCGAAATTCCGTTGAAAAGTTCACAATATTTTTATTTTATTTTTATTTTTTTCAAAAGTTTTCGACGGAATTCCTTTTCCGTCAAAAATCTTCGACGGAATCGAAATTCTATCAAAAAGTCCACAATATTTATTTTCTTTTTTTCAAAAGTTTTTGACGGAATTCCTTTTCCGTCAAAAATCTTCGATGGAATCGAAATTCCATGGAAAAGTCCACAAAATTTAATTTTTTTTCTTTTATTTTTTTTAAAAGTTTCGACGGAATCCCTTTTGCGTCGAAAATCTTCGACGGAATCTAAATTTCGTCAAAAAGTCCACAATATTGAATTTCTTTTTCTTTTATTTTTTTCAAAAGTTTTCGACGGAATCGCTATTCTGTCAAAAAATTTCGACGGAATAGAAATTCCGTCGAAATGTCTACAAAATTCAATTTCTTTTTCTTTTATTTTATTCAAAAAATTTCGACGGAATTCCTTTTCCGTCGAAAATCTTCGACGGAATTTCTTTTTCCGTAGAAAACTTTCGACGGAATCTATTTTCCGTCGAAATTATTGACGGAAAACAGGTTCTGTAGAAAATTCCGTCAATACTTTCCACGGAATTTTTTCCGTCGAAAAATTCCGTCGATAATAAAGCCTTTTCTATTAGTGACTTAATATTGTATCGACGTTTTCATTTAATAATTTTGATTAATAGTTATATAGTAAAAATTATATTCAAATTAGAGTAAACACCATTTTTGGTCCCTGGCAATATCTACGAAATCCTTTTTAGTCTCTGGCAATAAAAAAGGACCAAATTGGTCCCTAACAGTATGCAAAAAAGGCCACGTTAGTGACGGAGGAGTTGACATAAGGACTAATGTGACCCTTTTTTCATAATTTTAGGGATCAATTTGGTCAATTTTTATTGCCAGGGACTAAAAAGGATTTCGTAGATATTGCCAAGGACCAAAAAGGGTGTTTACTCTTCAAATTATTAGAAGGCAATCTCTCCTGTATTGCTCGCCACTATCTCTGATTCTCTTTCATTAAAGGTATACATTTAAATATATGTGATTATTTTATTATTAGCAAATATTATAGAGTTTCATTCCTAAATTATCATTATAGGAAATCTAATATATTAGATGGGATTATATATGTTAGGAATGTGGCTTCCATACTCAAGAGGGGGGTGAATTGAGTATTACAAGATTTTCGCAAAAGCCCCCTTCTAGTTTCTAAATAATTATTTCAAACAAACTTTGATATATGAAAAGCTAATCAATACATTCAAACAATCCTTAATATATAATATATCACAATTATAGAATTTATTTTAGCACATACAATATATCAAAGAAACAATTAAAGTGCTAGAAATAAAGAGTATAGAGTTTAGAGAATTGCAAACACAATATATCCTGGTTCGGTCACCACCACTTGTGACCTACGTCCAGACTGAAGCCGCTCGATCAACTCTTTCACTAATGGTCAAGCTTCACGGGTGTTTGAAAAACCTTTACAATCTTCCAAGACTTCGGGTTCTTGGATACCTTACAATCTCTAAGTTTTCGGGTACTTGGCAACCTTACAATTCACTCTAAATTTACTTATGTATTTGGCTACCTCTCAAACAATGAGTCTCACAACCCTTTCAACTCAAGAATATAAGGATAGAAATATTTGGAAATGAATATACACTCTCAAAGTGTTGATATACAACTTGAAGCATTATGGGTATATGAATTTTTAAGATATGAGCTCAAATATGTTTGATCTTTGAAAGATATGAAAGAATATGCAAATGATAGTGTAAAAACTCTCAAAATATGCTTAATATGTGTGGGAAAGATGCCCAATGCGTTTTAGAGTCATTGGGAATGTATATATAGTGTTTCCATTGAAAACTAGCCGTTTATAGCCGTTATATGAATTCTGTCACAGTGGTAATCGATTACCAAATGATGGGTAATCGATTACCTCAAATGGTAATCGATTACCAACTTGACAACAAGAACATTGTTTCGTATTTTGGGCATAATTTGAGTTATACTTGTCATATTGATGTGATCTTGGTGTCGTTGGAAAGATAAAAGAAAGATTTACAACTTATATGAAGAACACAAGATCCAAATTCATCATCTTGGATACGAAAAATGTATGGAAGGAAGCAGCAAAATTATGCAACAATTTTTAAGTTCAAATGTGTTCTAACTTGCTTCTAACCACTTTTTGTGAAAGATCTTGACTTGATAAATATGTTTTGAAGTTATAAAATTTCTCAAGGATCTTTTCCATGAGTTTTTCAAATTTCTTTCAAGTATATAAAAGTTATGATTATGCAATTCGAAAAACACGTTTACTTTGAGAAAAACTTTAAGCTCATGCAATGCAATCTATCATATACCCTTACATATATTCTAAGTCCTAAAGATATATTCCAAATATGATTTTACACTTAGCTTTATGTCTTGTGTCTTGGATCTTTACTTGAACTTGATGCTTTGACTTGTTGGATATGACAATGCTTGACACTTTGTTGGTTTTGATCATTGGTGTTGCTCTTCTAATTATTCTTTGTTGCTCTTGATTCAATGATCTTGCCACTTTGATATGACATCACTCTTCTTGTGTGGCTACATCATACATCTTCAATATCCATATATGGTTGATGCTTTTTGCTCTTGATCAAAGCTCTTCTCTTTTTGTTGTTGCCATTTTGTTATCATCAAAACATACCTTGTATCTACAATATATTCCTTTCAAAGAACATAAAATTATGTTATTTAGTCAAAATTACAGTATTTTGTGGTGAAAGAAAGAGTTACATAATAGAAATCATAGCGAAAGAAAGTGAGATTTTCTAAATTTAAATATTAAATAAAAATAGTCTTTTAATTAAAATAATTATCTTTTAAAAGGACAAACATTTTTCCTATATTAGATTTGATGCATTATGATATTTGTGGTCCATTTGATATTTCATCGATTAGGTCGTAATAGATATTTTGTTACTTTTATAAATCATGTTTCTCGAGATTGTGATTGTTTCGTATGAAATATAAGTGCAAGTGTTCCAGTATTGCTAGTACTTATATGTTATGTTGAAAGAGAATTATAAAAAAGCTCTTAAAAGGTCTCAGTATTGAGAATGAAGGCGAGTACATCTCAAAAGTGTGAGAATTATTGCTCCAAATCCCCCGTTAAATTTGAAAAGACACTTCCTAGAATCCCTCAACACAATAGGGTAGCAGAGATGTACAATCACACAGTTATGAAAAAAATTAGATACGTGTTGAAGATTTCTGCATCGCCAAAATCTTTTTAACAACTCTTGCTACTTGATGAACATATTTCCTTCCACCCCTTTAGGCTCAAATATTCTAAAATAGGCTCATATAAAGGTTTTAGGTTGCAAGGCCTTTGCACATGTTGCAAAGAAACAATGGTTGAAGTTTGACGACAAGGATATTCCTGGTATATTACAAGGTTATGACAATGAAGAGTTTGGATACAAATTATAGAATACTAAAAAAAAATTAGAAGTATAAATATAGTATTATGTCATACTAATAATATTACATACTTAAAGAAAATTGTGAAGCATACTCATAAGGAAGAAGTTATGTTTGATCATGTATACATTCAGTCTTCTTCACATGGTGCTATTGGAGGAGAAGAGTTTAGGGAGAAGTTATATTAGATTCTACTAAGGGTGTTCATCAACCGATCCAAATTGATTCCAATCTTGGTGATTGAATCGAAAACCGAAAAACAAAAAACCAGAAAAAGAACCCGCATATTCTAATTTGATTGGATCAGTTTTCGATTTGGTTGGTGAAAATCGATCAATCCAAATCGATCCAATGCATTATGTATTTATTATTTTCGAAAGATGGTGACTTGAAATCTTGTTGATTTGTAAACTTGAAATCTTGGATGTTATTGATAGCAAACTATATTGTTTTTGTTTTTTATTGTCTATTAATTTATTTTAACTCTTGTTTTAAAATTTATTTTAGTTTAAAAACTTGAATTTTTCAGTGGTTTGTAATTTTGAATGACTTTATTTTGATATAGCTAGTTACTTGTATGATTGAAATTGTATACTTTTTTAAAAACCGAAAATCAATCCGATCCAAACCGAATAAAATTGAAATGGATTGGGTCAGATTTTAAAAAAATTCAAACCAAATGGATGATTAAATCATCAAACTGAAGGGATTGAATCAGATAATTTTTATTTCACAACTGATCCAATCCAGACCGTGAACACCTCTAGATTCTACATAAATTCCTTTCCCTTGATTTCTATCTTTTTGATGTTGTTATTTGATTTCTCTATTATTGCACAAAGAGAGAATAGTACAAATGTGTATCTATTATTTTTATTTGGCGATTGTGAAGATTTGGGTGAACTCCGATAAAAGCCAAGTGATTTATTTCTCACTTTTTATCCCCCATTAAAAGTATTGTGTCTCAATTGTGATGTTGCTATTTTTTTTATAAGGTTTGATGTTTCTCATGTTATAAGAAATAAAATTATCTCTTACATCCACATAAAAATATGTGAGGCTTATATGAAGTAGTGTGAAAAGAAAAGAAGAAAAAAGAAAACATGAACTCCACACACTTCTATGTGTGTAGGTGATAATTTTAACTTCTATAACATAAGAGACATTAAACATTTATATTATTTTAAATTGTTTACTTCAATTGTGCATTTAATCTATTTATTTGGCCCAACACATAGATAGTACCAATTTTGAAATTCCATATTAACTAAATTCCTCTCGGATCGAACAAACTCAGTCGTAAATATGCAGGAAAAAAAATGGTTTGAAGAATATTGAACATGCTTGAGAGTGGAAATTGAGAATATAATTGGTGCTTGTGTCATACGCAAGTCTTATCAGCACTTGCCAAGGAAAAGGACCATTCACCAATGGCCAATACGAGAAGAGAAAGGTAATCTTAATATAGTAGCTAGAAGAAAGAAAGAAAGAAAGCTAAGTCGCATCCTTTCAACTATCCCAAATGAAAATCTCATTAATGTGTTGCTTTCATCATTTCCACTATTCCTATTGAATTTTTCATTAATATTAGCACCAACAAAACTATCATTAATATCATGTTTCTTTGCACGGTATTTGCATCTAGTTATAGTATGCACAATAAAAGATAAAGAAACACAAAAAGTTAACTTTCTTTTAAATTTTTCCAAATTCTCTTTAATGTCATATTTCCTTGTGACCTTGTGCTGAATCTTATCCGTGAGGTTGTCAATATCAGTGGGGCAGATTTTTATGGACAGGTATCAATTGTTTTCAATTTCTTTTTTCCATTCCTTTTGTATATCAAGCAAAATATTACGGATTCCAATTTTATTATTCCTAATATCTCTATTATATCTTGTGTATCGCTCTTATTACATTTTCTTTGATACAAATCCATATCGTTTTTATTCCGGAGTAAAAGGAGCTAATCACAAAATTCAACTGAATATCTTCTCTCTCTCTCTTTTATGGAATTCTTCAACTGAAGAATAGATCAGCTCAGTTTTTTGGGTATCAACTTTTATGACTTTTATTTGGAAGTGTTTCTGTCCATTTTCACTCAAATTGTCAGAAACTGTATATCGAATAATTGATTATTCTCTTTGGATCTTTGATCAAAGGTAAGCATTCAAAAATACAGGTAGTTCTCAATCATGATTCAATATATGGGTGAGGACTTACCTTAATCAAATGAACTAAAGAGTAATTATTTATACCAAAAAAAAAAAAAGATTTCTTCAAAAAAATTGCACAATTTTATCACAATCATTCACTTTTCCCTCTTTCTTTTACTTTTTCTCGTCCCATCTACGTTTCTCATACTCTTGTATTTTTTTTATTTCAAACAAATTCAATGAACAACTTTATAATTAAAAGATATAAATCACATAATTATATAAGATATAAATCCAAAAACATAAAAAGAGTTTAACAACTCTTTTAACTAAGTTCCAAAACATTAAAAGAATAAAGTTTAACAACTCGTAAATGAAAATCCAACAACCTCCGGCAAGAAATTTTTTTTAAATAGCTAGAAGAAGATATGTGTATTTGATTTTGGGAAAACGAAAATAATGTTTTTTTTTGTTTAATTTTTTTAAAATGAAAATAAAATAAGGTCATAGGTTAAATGCTGACCTGATTCAGTTTTTTGTTTAAATAAAAACATAAAAATTTACATTTCTATCGTTTTTATCAATTTTTACCTGAATTTTTTTTTACTTGAGTTATAATATGTATCATTTCAGTAAAAAGGTAAAACTGAGAAGTGACTTGTAGCTCACACTGATCCATTCTGGAAGACTGGACGTATTCCTTCATCGTTGGTCAGAGAACCAATCATTCTGGTGCAAAATTCTTCTTACTATAGTTACTAATCTCTGGATGAAGAAGTTAGTATGCTCTACACTTGCCCTGCAAAGGGATCCTGTGTATCAGAAAACGGACTCTGTGATGATCCAGTCTTACGGTCCTCTCATCTTTAAGGATTCATGGATGATAGTCTCCAAAAAAAGAGCTAAGAGACTAAGGGATGCCAACCTCTATGTCATCCCTAATATCAGAGAATTGTGAAAAAACAATTAATCTAGTCAAAAGTAACTTGATATCAGAAAATGTAAAATTTGAGTGACGAAAACCCATATTTGTTATATTAATTGTATGAATTAAACAATTTCGGTAATTGTCATATTTCAAAAACTTTATCTATTAATAAATAGGGTAAGGTTACATTTATAAAAAAAAAAATTATAACTCTTACAACCTTAATTATATATTCCTGATAATACATTCTCAATTCTCAAATATTTATACTCATATAAATACATAATTAAGGTTGTAAAAATTAAAAAAAAAAGTTATAAGTGTAATTCTTTCCTAATAAAAAATATTAATTGTCCCAAAAATAATATTAATTAATTTTAATTATTAACTTGTTCAAAGAAAATTCACAAGTTAAAAGCAGGGAATAAAGGAGAAGAGTGTGGGTGGAAAGTGGAAATGAATCCGAAAGTTCGGGGATGGTGGCAAGTGCCTTCCTCGAATCTTAACGCGTCTCGCTGTCCCATCCAAGATTGTACTATGTTATCTATTTAATGTATATCTAACCATTGAATAATTCTTAACAGAAATCAATGGCTGGAATGCTTCCAGGAGTTGAATGTGCTCGAAAGAGACGATTGCATCGAAGTGGAGGAGGAGGAGGAGGTTGCTCCTATTCACCAACTCTTGATTCCACAAGACGCTCTTTCTGTTTGTACGCTAGAAACCTCCAATCCCCCTTTTCCTCATCCTCTTTACTGGTAAGCATCTCTCTCTCTCTCTCTCTCTATATATATATATCTATTTCATCCACTTTCACCATTGAATTCTCTCTGTTTATACACTGTTAATGTGGATGCATTGTTTGAATGGAAACAGCAAAGGAACATGTTAAACCAGGGATACCCAGATGAGAAACTGGGAGGAGCAGCCAGAGAAGCCAAACAGAGATTGGATGACAAGTTCACAGCACATATGAAATCAGAAAACCAAAGTTATAATCATAAAAGAAAAAGCCTTTTTCATGGTTTGTGGCATCAACTCAGATCTTAGTGAAACTAGAAGAAGATTCCCAGATCATCAAGTGGTCTTTTATCATTTTGATACATTATAATTATGGGTTTGATGTTTCTCGTGCAGAAGATAATTTTTTTTTTTGGATACGGAAGATAATTTTAAATGTGTGGAAACTGGAAAGCACTGCCGCAGCCTTTTAGCACCTTTTTTTTGTAATTAGCCGAGTTTTTTACTTTTTGTACATTGAGGTGTTAGGTAAAGGATTACGATTCTCTTCAGATTTGAACAAACTGTATGACATCTCAACTACAAAAAACATTTCACTTTTATATCAAGATAAAAACTAAAATTTAATGGGAAAAGTTTTTGTTATTTTGAATGACATAATTTATATCATTTCACTCTCATAAAGAATGTGAGACTCACATCTTCTTCTTTCTTTTTCACTCTTTCTCCTTTTTTATTTATCTCTTTTTCTCACTTAAAATGACATAATTTTATATCTTTAAAATGATTCACGTTTTTCCCAAATTTAATTAATATAAATTGTTGGATGGGAATTGTACCATTCCCCAGTTTTTTTACCCTGATTCCAGTTTATCATATATATGGAGGGTCAAAGAAAAGTGGGTCGAGGGGGTTCAGTTGTACCAAATTGACCTGAAAGGCCTCAAATGTTTTGGGTCTAAATTAGGAACACTGGCCAAATTGTTGTTGTTCACAAAATTATTGATGAGAATATTATGCGAATAGTAAAAAAATTTGGAATGTCACACACACACTAATTTGCTTAGTTCTACATAAGGATTTATGTGACCCCCAATATGGATGCTTGAATTAGAACCAAAAATTTGTTGTCCCGTCTGCATACTTATCATCACTTTTATATTTCTTTTTAAAAAAAAGACCTTATTCCACTTTACAAAGACAACATCACCTACACAAGACAAACTCTAGGTCCTTCTGACTATACACCTAGATTTCCATAGCATTTGGTGACTGTGTGAAGCATGATTCAATGGATGTGGTACTGTTATGCATACTCATGAAAAACATGTTAGTTAGGTGACCAAGTTTTGAGTGAAAACACTACTGAGTGAAAAGGTACTTCAAAACTTGTATAATTGATCTGCTTCTTTTTGGTGGAAAAGTGCATTCTGATTTATTGATGGCTGTCATTCACTTTTTTTCCCATTACTTTTTCTAATCTCTATTTGACATCATACGAACCATTCATGAGCAGAAAGATAATTCTGCATATTTTTGTTCCATTAGTATTAGCAGAAAACTTACATCATATTGTGAAGAGTATGTCCAGATATATATCCTATTTATCTTTGATCCACATGCCAAGTTGAGGGGGAACAACGAAAAAAAAGGAGGAGGAAGAAGAAGAAGAAGAAGAAGGAGAAGATGATTAAAAAAAAGAAAAAAGAAGAAGGAGAATAAGATGAACAAAAAAGAAGAAGAAGAAGAAGATGATAAAAAAAAAGGAAGGAGAATAGAAAAAAAAAATTAAGAAGAAGAAGAAGAAGGGGAAGAGGATTAAAAAAAAAAAAAAAAGAGAAGAACGAGAAAAAAAAAAGTTATAAAAAAAAAGGGGAGAAAGCTTCAACTGTTAATTGTCTCATGGCATAATACAGCATCCAAACAAATGTCATTTTTTTGTTGTTCTTTGCAACCTGAGTCATCTTGCCAATAACACTCCCAGCTTCTAACAACTAAGAGAGTTCTTTAATCCTTCCATTTCCTATCATCTTTTCCTTCATGCTTAAATTTTTCATAAACTTTATTCTACTTGCACTTTTCTGGTTAAAAGGATTCCTAGATCATGAATTACAAGTCCATGAAGCATCCTTGAAGGTGAATAAATTGTGAGTTAAACACTTGAGTGTCTTCTATCATGAATATTGCAAAATACACCATGCCATTGCAAAGTGCTCTGCTGCTTCCCATTTGCTTTACTCTTTCTCATACATCTCTTGCTCCATTATGCCTAATATTTTCCAAAGTTTGATGATGTCAAAAAAGGGGGAAACTAAGATGCCTTATTTGAGTTAATTAAGTGTTGGTTACTAGTTGAATTTGTCAACATTATCACTGTTTAATTACTACTGTTTGAATATCTGGTTTTGGATTCGGTATCAATTATTCAACTTGATCACATGACATGCTACATTGTTGTTGCTGTATACAAAACTAGCTCGTTGACTATGAAAATAGGTTGTTATTGCTGAACTTCAATGTTGGATTGATCTGTCAAGCTACTTGGATTTCTAAGGCATCAATTGTTTGTCATCATCAAAAAGGGGGAATTTGTTGCACCCTATGCTTTAAAATATATAATGTATTTGAGATTTACTCACATAAACTAATGTCACGTGGGAGGATCCATCCATTCATTTTCTGTATAAGATGAAATCAAGGACCCATAATCGTGTTAAAAAGAGAGGTTCCATTCCCGTTTTAGATACATAATTAGCTAAATATTTTCATGTATCCTATAATTATTGAAAGAATAAAATAAACTAATTGTGTCTATTTAAGATGGATAAACTAAGCTAATAGACGGTTGCCATAATACGACAACGAAGATAGATCTACACATTGAAAGATTTTACACAAAATAGATAAATTATGCCAATCAAAGCGTCACCTCATATAGATCTACACATTTGGATATTTTTGAAATATCTAAAGTGTGACTTGTTATAATGAGATATCGATAAAAATTACTTGTATGTGAGTACTGTGTGTTTATAATTGAGTTTAGGTGTATGTTTAGTTTTGACTACTTTTTCTAGTATAAAAAATTTATTTTAGTAAGATTTTAATGATAAGCTGTTTCGAAGACAAAATAAACTGTTTTATATATACACTAAATTCTTCACCCCATTCACAAGCCTCAACGGCTAGTTTTTGACTTCAAGTGACCGTTTTGAGCATCTCCCAAAATTCAAAGTCTCAAAAACAAAACAGACAAGATATCCATAATTCCCGAAACCATTTTTCATCTTCAAATCTCACAAAACATTACGACTTTTCTGCCACAAAAGTTGCGTTCTCTTTTGTCGAGAAACACATTCAACAATCTAAAGATCCGAAAATGGTGTACTCCTACTACACGCCCACGTACTACTCAACCCTCCATGACTCAATCACCTCACTGTGCAAGAACATTCTTCCTTTCAGCTTCAAGAAACGGTCTTTGCCTTCTGCAGAGCACAGGTTGTCAAAGCTACAATCCGACAACCTTAAATGGCAACAGGACTCTTTCCACCAAGTGTTGAACTTGATGGGTCTCCACAAAGAAGGCATTGTTGCTGAAACTGAGGTGTCTGCATTCAGAACTCACTTGCTTGAGACCCTTATTGCTTCTCCTCCAGAACAAGAACATTCCATTATATTGAGAGATAAGCTTCTTTTTCTACAGGTTAGTCCTCACTCTGATTGAGCTCAATTTGAGTACCCTTTCTCAATCTTTGAACAATTTTAACCTTTTGCCTTTTTTTTTTTTTTTTTTTTTAACTTACCAGGAACTCCTTTATGCCAAGTGCATTTCTGAAGAAGACTACCATTCTTCTAAAAGGCCATTGCTTCAGAGATTGGCAGTTCAAGGAGCTCAGATTGAAGCTAGAGATGTGATTGTTGCAAGGCCTAAAGACCCAAAAGAGAATTCAGGAGAAGAGTGGTCTGTGATTGACTTGAAAGATGAGAAATGCTTGATGAACAAAGAGAACTCGAATTCTAAGAACAGATCAAATCAGGGATCAGGTTTGAAGCAGATTAAAGGAGCAGCCTCGGTTTTTAGCTTTGTCTCTAATCACAAACATGGTAAAAATGGCATGGAAAAGAGCATATTTGATTCACCTTCTTTGTCTACCAAAAATGAATTGGGACATTCCAACGAAAACCCCTTCTGGGATACTCATTCAAGGGGCAAACAAAGTGGAGGTGGATCAATTCTTATGGAGGAAAGTGGGCCTCCAGAAGGACCAATGAAGGAAAACAGTGGTTTGGATAAGTTGAAGAGGAAACCATTCAGGACTTTGTTTCATAGGGAGCAGAGAGAGGGACATGGTGGTGGTTCTGAACCAGATGAAAGAGCAGGTAAATCAGTGAAAAAGCAATGGGGATTTGATGGCTTCAAGAAATGGAAGAGAAATGAGTCAAATGATGAGACAGTTCCTTTGCCTCTTAATGAGAGGTCTGATAGTGAGGCCTACTCGGCTTCCTCTCAGGTTTTTGCAAGAACACTTGGGGAGGGACCCGATACTAAGTTAATAAAGAAGAAGTTGCATTCTGATGGTTCCCCATCTGATTTTTTCATAGACAAGGTTTCAGATCATTTTCAATCTTTGATTCTCATTTCCTTTATTTTATTATTTTTGAATTGAGATAATTTTGGTTCATTGTAAATAGGTTTTGGGAGACAAGATAAAGAAGGAGCTGTCAAGGATCCAGACAGAACTGAGCAGCACAAATCCAAATCTTAAATTTTCGTAAGTGTTTTCTCAATTATTACAATATTTTTAGTTATTTTGCTATATCTATCTTGCATTTGGAAAACTGATACTAGTTGTTTGCTTTTGTTGTGTAATAACAGGAATGATCAGATTGAAGCGATTTCTACCAGAATTCCAGTGGACAAGGCCGAGTTGAAAAACTACTTTCCCAAGTGAGTCAAGTCAACATAATCCCTCTTCCATAATATATATGTAGTTTCAACTTTGGACCACTTAACACTAGTTTTGTGTATTCCGAGATCAGGGTGTGTTAGTGTTACTCACGGTGTCCTTTCTTGTGTGTTTATTGTGTTGAAGGTCATGGTGTGACAGATACGGTGATGTTGTGCTGGATGTGGTGAAGAAAGAATTCAAAGAACATGTTGGAGAAATGGAAAACATGCGCAACATTGCTAGAGAAAAACATGGCAACTCTAGGCGGTGGACTACATTTGAGGATGACGAAAACATTCATCCAAATCTTTTTGTTCATCGTGATAATTCAGTTCGCGGCAGTAACATCAATCCATTTTCTCATGCTTAGGCTTAGAGCAAATAGAATTAAGCTGAGGTCTGGATCAGCTTCCTCTAGGAAACCTACCCCTATAGTATCTTTTATATATTGTTAAGATTAGAAAAAGGACCTTGGTAATTGCTGTTTGAATAATCGACATTTTTATTTTCAATGATATCAATCTTTCTGGAAGGGTTATATTTACTAATTAAATTGTTAACAAACTCTTACAATCAAATCCGTCAAATCCGTTAATTTTCATCAATCTAACAGTTATAATTTATTGAGAATTAATAATTAATTAATAAATGTGATCTAATAAATTATAATTGTTAAATTAACGAAAATCAACAGTTAAAATTTAATTGTAAAAATTTATAAATAATTTAGTTTATCAAATATAATCCTCCTCCAATCTTTCGTGCAAGTCATCAATTTTTCTATTTTAAGTTTTAATAAGCATATCTAGTTCTAACGTTCTGTTTAAGAGGAGTGTCGTTTGTATATTTTCATAACTCTCAAATTTCGATCCCCACATGAATCATTGTTAAATGATGTGACCAATTCACCATTTCACCCTGCGATTCTAAATGCATAATTTGCATTTATCTGTTTAATTCCTTTTCCTTTTTCTTTTTCTTTTTCAATGGTGCCTATTCAAAACAAATTATTATATAATTTGATGTTTCCTAGATTTTCAACACATACTATAGCCGGAAATATAGGATTGGAAAAAGAAGTTACTAATGACAGGGATAGACAAAACACTAATTGGAAGATCACGATTTGATATTCCAGTGGATAAAACCAGTGTAGACTTTCAAATATACTTGCATTGCGCTTGGATTTAGAGTACTGTACAGAACAGAAAGAAAATAACTGGAATGGAAACAAGTTTCGACCATCCAAAAAAAAGAATGGGGTGATCAGAATTCAGGAAATTCCTTCATTTTCCCTCAGACCCAAAATTGGGATGGAATGAAGAAAACCTCTAAAAGAAAAAAGACACTTTTATCCTATTTCTTTACTAATATTTTAAATAAGGATTTAGGTAACTTTTCTCCATTCTTTCCATTGCCTTTTCAGTCCATCTTCTCTTGTTTTATTCTATTTCATTAATGAAAAATATCCAAATATAGTATTAATCAGCTTGCCATGGACATGTACTTGGAAAAGGGAATACGGGAAGCATCACAAAAATATAGTATTAAGTAGCTGTTTTATCCCATACCATTGGCAAGGGTCAGATTACTTTTAGACTAAATTATAAGATTTGGTAATTCAAATATCCACTTTGTGTAAATTTGGTCTTTCAAATGTTTGTGATATAAAATTAATCCTTTAAATATTTAAAATGACATCAAAATAATCCTTTCCTGAAGTTTTCGGGTGACAATGATTTGAACCATTTTTATGTGTATTTAATATTTACAAACTGCACTTCATATATACAAGATCAATGAGACTGCACTTCTGAGTCGGCGGAAGACTCCGTGAACCCTCCACAAACATTGCCACGACACAGAGGACATACACTGTAAAAGAGGGAAAACAGAAAAAATGGTTATTTATATAACGGGAACTGGTAAATACAAAAAAGAATGACGAGTTTTGGTGAGAATGAGAGTACCCATGTATTTCTTTAAGCCACTTATCGACACAAGACATGTGATACTCATGGTTGCAAGGAAGAACTCGTATTTGGTCCCCTTCTTCATACTCCGCCAGGCATATGTAACATCTACCAAATTGATTATTAATTATTATTTTTTAAATATTTAGAAGAGAGAAGAACTTTGAGCTTGTGAATAAACAAAAAAAAAAAAAAAAATCAAAAATTAAAAACTTTCATGCAAGCATTTAAGGCCATAAAAAACTATCATCATAACTTCAAGCATAGCAAGCCAAAAACTAATTAACCATAACCACAGTGACACATTTAATCTCATTATTTATGCACACGTATTTGCATAAGATAATTAGAATTAAGAGGCTTACTGTTCATCAGCATCATTGCCTCCATCAGCTACATCAACCTTTTTGTGAGACTTTAGAGGCAAAGAGTCAACAATTGATTCAGGTGCCGGGAAAGAGACCATGGATAGGGAAAGTGATCCAGGTTGACGATGGATTTCATCTAAGACCTGCACAGGAAAAGTATGACGCCAAGTAAATTGGTTTTGTTCCACAAATCAGACTCTTGTATTCCAATAGCAAAGTATAGAACCATTTTGGAACATTTCTTTTAACCAGAAAAGAATAGATTCAAATAAGTTATGATCCATCGTGAAAAACTGGAGTTCTTTACGCACAAAGCAACTGTACCAAACATAAAAACACATGGCTACCGCCATTTTATGATCTGAGCTGTGCCTTCAATTACAGGAAGAAGGCTTCCATTCAAGGTAATGCTTATTTATTTTATTTTTTTAAAATATCAAAGCATGACAGCTAGATTTGACATCTAACTAAATGTAAAGAAATGATTACACGAGATATACTGCAGGCCAACAAAAAGGAGGGATTATGACATACCCAATCAAGCCCGGGTGCTCATGACGGGCAAGAATTCAAGCATATTTTAGAATATAGAACAGAATAACATTCTGAATAATTTGATCATTTATTCTATTGGAGATTTCTTTATATCCATTCATAATTTACAGAATAGGAAGAAACGCATACCCATCTTGGAAAGTCTCCAGTTCAAAAAGCTAGATTGAAAGGATGCACATTTAATAAACAATAACTAGATGACATCATCTAGCACTACAAAACATTTGCAGACCTACATAAGGAAAAAGAATTTATTTTTTTCCCTACAGAGAAATTGAAAGATAAAAGAAGTTCAAGATTATATTGGAAATAGCCTAAATATGAAATCCAAAATCAGATAATCTCAATTAGTAGGAAACATGACTATGTAGAAAAGAGGCCAAAAAGATGAAAAACAAATGCATCAAAACATCCGCACTCAAAATTCTCTTATTCAGTAAGCACACTACCCTGTCAATGGTATCATAGTTATACCTAATCAATTGACACTCAGCAAGAACCAGGTTTAAACTAGATGCAAAATATAAAGCAATAAAATTACGATGCATGGAGTTTAATTATACAATGAAAACGAGGGACAAATGTGGAAAGCTAAATTGAATTAAAATCTAGGAATAAACAAATATTATGACATTTGAGAGAAGATTAAACCTCAAACAGAGCCTCAGCCAGCATGACTATTCTTGAAATACTTGCTTGAGTGCTAGATTCCTCAGCCATGGGGAAAGACTCGCATGAGCACATACCATCTGCATGGAGTCCTAATGGACAGGAAGAATTCCACCTACCAATCTCATCAAAGCTACCACGAAGCCTTTCCCAGATCTATAAAAAGTAATGTAAACAGCTTAAGTTACATAAAGGGGCCACAGACCCAAATAACAAATGCAAGCAGATGAAATAAGCAATTCAAGGCATTCTTTACTCCAAATATTCAGAATCACCTCAGATCTTGAGTGTTGCATTCGTTCATGCAATCTGTGAAATCTGCTGCCCATATACCCAGAAGCACTTCCAACCCCATCATTTGAGAAATCACCACCAAAATCAACAAGCCATCGATCTTGAGATCCTGGGTCATCAGCACCTCCAGTGGAGAAGACAATGGTTGGAGAATCACCTAGCCTTCTAGAACTACGTCGTGAAAAAGCATCCCAAAATAATCTCCTACCATTCCTTCTGGCATCATGATCATTGGAATCAGCATTGCTGGCAGACAAAATGTTGGAAGATATTGTGACCACATCAACTTGAAGCACGCTGTCATTTTGACCTCTTTCCCGATTGGACACAAGAATACCTAACCCTGAAGGTATTGTCTCGCGACGAGGTTCGTTTTCTGGCAATCGAGAAGTTGGTGTTAAATTGGGAACTTGAGCAACAGGATTCGAAGAAGAACTCTGGATAGATATGAATGCACCAGTATGATTCTCAACAGAAATTTCACCAGAACTGGAATTTCCATGCTCTTGAGGGATTGGACTCCTTGGATGCATTGTCTCGCAAGAGATTTGAGAGACACCACTAACCACTGGATCATCAACATTATTGACTGCATCCTTGTTAGCAGAAACATTAACAGAGACTGGATCTGAAGACCGCTGTTCTACAAATGAAGTACTAGCTGTGTTGCTACTATGACTATATGATTCATGACGACTATGACCGGCACTTACCTGATGAGGGACTAGCTCCTTACATTCAGACAAGCACTTCCTCTGACTACTTGTTGCAACATTTCTGGAAGAACCTTCAACATTGGTATTCCCGTAGAACTCAGTTCTCATATCAGGTAAAGTTACAGTTTCAGCATGAGGACTGCAGCTAATTCTATCTTCTCTACTTGCTAAAGATGACTCCTCAGTGACTTTCCGAATTCCATCATCAAAATCTCTTGCCGAATTTACCTGAAGATCAGATGGATGTTCTTCCATCTAAAAACACAATATAAGAACACTTCCAGTGTCAGCCAATCTCTCAGTATCTATCTAAAAGTCATCCCCAAATTGTTGCATGTGTGAGATCAGTCAACATGGCTTGTACATCAAGTTCAAATCATACTCTAAATTCTGTTTTTCCTCATGACGATAGTGAGTTGTCAACAAGCTAAGAAAAATATGATTTTTGAAATGCAACCCTATATATATGCTGAGATGCATAAATTAATAGAGACGAACATGCCTCTAAAACTAAGACAGTTCATCAAATCAACGGAAAGTAAATGAGCGCCACTACTTGCCAATGAATGGAGAAAGAGTTAAATTCAAAAAATTGCAAAGTCTGAAATTTTAATTTTTCAAGATTTTAGAGATTTGCACCGTTCATTGAATCAATTAGGTAGGGAATGCAATAACAATATGCTAAATCCCAGATTTCTGACAAAGAATGATAACATAGGCATCAACAGATAATTCCATTGATTAAGCTCATATGCGTCAAACCGTATCAATCAATTGGCAACTTATCAGATTCTAAAATCTCCAACAACCATGATAATCACAACAGCGCACAAACAATGAACAAGTTCATATATGGAAGATATCTCAAACAATGAATTCAAAAAAAAAAAAAAAAAAAATCATTTAGCTTATCAAAAAGGCTAGACTTCCACAAATTCGCGTTATCCAAAAGTCAAGCTCAATTATTTGGCCATTTAAAAAATTAAATTTTCATATTAATTTTGTTCTTACACACCCCCCAAAAATAAAAATAAAAAATTTACCAGATTCAAAAGCAACAACATCCTACATATGCTTTCTTTTGATCCATAAGATTAAAAAGGGGATCGGATGGATCAACCCCAGATGCGAAAAATCGAATTTTTGAATTGAGAAAGAGTCCGTGAATGGAAAAAACGAAATGGGTATTAAGGAAATCGGGTATAATAATGAATTGTGGGAAAAGAGGTAGATGGGTACCTGATAAGTAGAACGGGAGGTGGAGGTGCCACAGAGAAGAGAGGATAGTCTGAAGCGGTTGACCCTGGGACTAGAAGGGCGAGACCCATGTCTACTAGAGGCCGAACCCATGTCTGTATCGGAGAAGAGAAAAGAGAAGAGAATAGAAGGTGCAGAGTCTCAGATATCAGCTAGATGTAAAAGATGTGGACGCTTGCTTATTGCTTCATGACAATGGAAAGCTGACCCACTTTGAGCGTTTCTTCAATTTCAAGTGTTTTCTTTTCTCATCTATATTTTTTAATAATATAATTTAAGAATACAAGAGAGATTTTTTTGTTTTTGTTTGGTAAAACGTGAAAATAATCTCATTCAACCTCTGGTGTTTTTAGAATACAGTCTCCAAGATTATTTTTCATTGGAACAGCATATGTATTGAGTTTTGACACAGGAGAAAATTTAAGAATTTGTTTGAGAAAGAATTTGAATTCCTGATCCAAATAAATCATTATTTTTAATTTTAATATGCATGTATAATAACAATAGAACATTGGTTTAAAAGGATAAAAAAAATAAGATTAGAAGCTTTTTTTGGGTGGGACTGTAGGAGAATGTTAGTAACATCTTTAATCCGGACTAAAATGGAAACCACCTAATGAGTTATAATAATTGAGAAATGAATGAGTTTTTTTTATACAGTCGTGAGTTAGTTTTTTTATGTATTTCTATAAATTTTAATTCTTTGAGTTGCCTTAATTTTAAGTTGGGATCTAGTCATAAAATCTTTCACCTCACTCCAAAAATATATTTGGTAGAAAAATGAGATTTTTTTTTACATAGAATAAGGTGTTCTTTTTTAAGTAAAATGAGGTGTTTTAAGTTTGAATATATTTACCTTGATTAGGAGAATGCCAGGTGATATTAGCAGAAGACAGTTTGGAGAATCATAAAGCCGAATGCATTACAGCTCATAGCCTCATACCAATTAAAATTCCACTCTGCTAGTTTCCCTTTTTCCCGCTTTTATGTAAGGTTTTTGGTGTGGTGGGCGTTATTAAGATAACAATACTAGAGCATACTAAAAATTCCCACAGTGGTCAAAACACAAAATGGTAGCGGCTATAAAAATTTTAGAGGGAGTTTGGTTGAGGAGAAATTTTTTGAATACTAGAAAAATATAGTTAATAGGAAAATTGTTGGAAAGTGAGTTTGGTAGGAAAATGTAAAAAAAATTGTTTGATTAGAAAAAAATTTACCAGACAAATTAGATAAAATTTATAAAGTCTATGTTTGGTTTGAGATAAAATATAGATAGAGAAATAGATTAAAATTACCAAATTAATCCGTTTATAATTTTTGAATGTCAATATATGTTGTTTAGTTGGGGTATTTTGGTCTCCATCATAATGTCCCCTTTGCCATTTATCCCTGCAATTACAAAAATCACTCATTTTAAATAGTGAAATATTTCTCATTTTATACACACTCTTCAAATGCTAGAGAAATAAGTTAGATGAAAAAATTTGTGAAAAACCTTCACCAAACATAGATGTCTAAAAATCCCAAAACCAAATGCATGGGATAAAAAAGATATAACTTCAACCAAACATCCCCTTAAATTATTTAAAAAAAATCACAGCACAAGCCAAATACTTTGCGTGAAATAAGAATAAGACATTGTTGTAATACGTACCCGATTTGACTTCGTCGATTAAGAATTTGTCTGTTTATTCTTTTTACCGTGGACAAAACATTTTTTGTTATTTACAAAAAAAAAAAAACATTTTTTGTTATTTACAAAAAAAAAAAAACATTTTTTGTCATTTTCTTTCATTGGCTACAACTACAACGTCACATTTTCTTTTATCGCAGAAACGTAGCCTAAATGATCTCTGATTTTTTTTTTAATATTAATCTTTTTGCTTTTTTCACGGTTCTTTCTTGACTTTCAGGTTCCGATGTTGCGCGGCTCAATATCGCCCTGAAGGAGCAAGCTGAATGGTGTACGGGGCAAAAATGAGCCAATCCATCATATAGGCTCATAATCTGCGAGGCACATACACGCAGGTTTTTAAAATAACTGTAGACAGTAACACTTTTCGATACACGTATTATATGCGATTAATATTTTAAGACATGCGATTAATGATCCGACATATTTTTTTAATATACAATTAATTTTTTTTGACATGCGGTCAATGCTCCGACATGCATCCGATATATTTTTTTAGAGCTAAATTTTATTTTATTAACTAAAATGAAAAAGTAACTTATAAATCAACTTTTTTTATTATAAAATTTGACATAAAAATTAACAACGTACGGAAAATTATTTTTGTTTATATTTATGTTATAAAATTTAAATATTTGATTGGTTATACGACTTCTTATTGGCTGTTATATGTATTAAATATAAATTATATTATATATATTAAAAATATTATTTAATATCAAAACGTGTCCCAACATATCAGAATACGACATTTTTTAGAATTAACGTGTCGGCGTATTTCGTGTCCCGTGTCAGTGTCGGTGCAACATACTCATAATCTGTATAAAATAAAAGCTTTAATGTTTCTATATTGAATGTAGATAAATTATCTATATTAGTTTCCAAAATAACGTCATTTTGGGTTGAAAAATTATAATAAAAAGACTATCATAACCCTAAAACAAATTATAATTACAAAAACACGTTGATTTTTGCCTCAAAACGACATCGTTTTGAGCTCAATGTAGATAAGTTATCTATATTAACCGTAAAAAAATGAACCCTAAAATAAATTGCGTTAGGTTGACAAAATTAGGTTTACAACTCAAAGTCAGCTAAAAAAAATTGAGTCAACTCGCGGGTCAAATGAGTCAACTCATGGATTATTCATTTTTTATTTATTAAAAAATTACAAAAGAAGAATATGGGGACGAATATGTTCAAAGATAGATACTAGATGAATACTTTATATGTAATGTTAATCGAGGGTATCCTTGCAATGTGAATCATGCTTTAGTTTAATTAGACCTTGTAGTTTCTGTTTGATGAGAAACGCAAGCACTTAAGTCTGTATAGGAACTATGTTTAGCATATATAGTGGTTAGTACGCAGAGATTATATGAAATGTTTTTCTTAGCAGTAAATATCTTATACAAAAAAAATTGAAAGGAGTTTCACACTTTTTTGAGACAAGATAAGATAACTTTGATTTTTGTTTTTATTTTAAATGCATGATCCGTCGATTTTGATAACCCAACCGGGTTATCGATTTTAATGAAGTCCGATCGGTTCGAGTCAATTTTTGCTAGGTTTGGTACATGCTGGTCCAATACTTAATTTGGTCAGATCGATTTATCGGATTATGAGTCGACCTGACCGATTATAGTTGAGTTTCATAACATTATTTAAAAGTATTATTTGCTGGTTATTGAAGTGAGACCAATCACAATTTTTTTTAACTTTAATAGTCTCTTAAAAATGTGACACGTATATTATTCTATTAAGTTCGTTTGATGATAAAATAAAAGAAATTAATTTAACTAAAATGTATAATAAGAAAAAGTAAGGTGACGTGTAGAAGAATCAAAGAAATAAGACTTGTCCCAAAATAAATTCATTCAAGTGGCATATGTTTGATTTCACTTAAATAAGCTCTTAAATTCAAGTATATGTGAATGTAAATTTTTTTTTTTTTGAAAGAATTAACCTCACTGTAATATGGGTATTCCTGAGGATACATGTAGTTTACAGGGAAAAAAAAGATTTGTAGCTCAGTGGGTCTTTGATAGGCCTTGTTTAAGCTTTCGCACTAGCAATGTGATTGTCCGGCCCAAGATTAAAGAGTGCACTTTCTTGACATCATGGTTTTCCAGCGGTGCAAGCCAGGCCAGGCAACTAATATACTAATATTATAACAATTGTATCGTAATTTCCTTCCATTTATCTCTTTAGATTGAACACCTAGGTATGTTTAGTATAAGAGAAATTTTTTGATATTCGAAAATCACGATTACTGAAAATACACTAGAAATTGAGTTTACTTGGAATGTTACGAAAAATGTGTTTGGTTCGTCAAAATATTACAGGGAATATTGGATAAAGATTACTGATTCTATGTTTGGTTTAGAACAAAATATGACTTAGAATATGATGTTATTTTACAAAAATAATCCCAAACTATTTTTACTTTTGTAATTGATAGATTGGGTCTAGGTTTTGATGTGTGTTGGGATATTTTGGTCTAAAAAATTGTTGTTGTGCTTTCCATTTTCTTGAAATTCTGAATTACCATATTATTTTTTTGGTAATATGAATGGTGACTTTTCTTTGTAAATCAAATTACATATAAATCTTGGATATACGGGAACTGGTTTTTTGTTACTTCTACTAAATATGATAATTGACATTTACCAAAGAAAGTTTACCAGTAGTCTTTTTAATATCCTTGTACCAAACACACCCCTATATCCTAATCCCACTATACTCTTTTTCTCAGCTGAGAAAAGTCATCAAGTTTCCCTGATTATGGCTAGATCACAATATGAGATAAGAAAGAGAAAAATATATAATTTTTAAATAAATAAGTATGATCAAATAACATAATCAGTAGTAACTTTTTCACGTTAGAAGATCTGTTCCGGTAAAATAAATTACAAGATTTTCGGTCTCATCTAACATTAATTCTACAGGCGTCAAGAATGTTAGTTAACCCAACTACCAAAAAAGAGAACTTGGACATTGACTGATAGATTCTCAAAGTGTTCTGCGTACTTCTTTTGTCCCTTTCAGAACGAAGTGTTTTAAATTCAGTCTTCATTAGTGTGCTTCCTCAGTTCAGGAACAAATTAAGAGAAAGCTACAAGCAACATGCACAATCCTCCACCGCCGGGTCCTCACCACCCCCCGGGGCCACCGCATCCTGGACCTGCTCCGCCTCATGCACAACCATCTCCTCCACCACCTGGTCCGCGAGCACCTCCACCTGGTCCCCAAGCACCTCCTCCTCCTGGCCCTCCTGGACCACACGGGCACCCTCCACACCACCACCACTGATGATGCTATGCAATATGGAGCTAGGAGCTAATGAATAATTGTAATATTATGCTGCTGTATATATATGATGTATGGTTTATTAATCCTTGAATAGCTTTTGGTGGTTTTGAGCCACTGAAACCCTACTCCCTGTATTTAATTACCATGTAATGTCACCGTGTGCCCTTTATGCTATGGCGTGCCTATTATTAGAATAATAAATAAAATGAGATGTATGTTTTCTATTTATGGTTGTTACGTTAAATCCATATATTATTAGAGTACCTGCACTCTGGCTTAGATGTCGGAAAATACATGTTCGACTTGCAGATCAGCCTAGATAGGAAATTATGGAATGAATTTATAATTCTGATCTCCGAATTTAATTATAATTTTGTGCAATCACGTCTTTGCGACCAGCCTCATAGTTTTAGTTATTGGTTGGCCTCCAAAGATTCAATTAAGGGGTTATTCTCCTTCTTTCTTAGAGTGATACTTCTAAACTTTTATACCTGAAATAATTCACCTTTTGCACATCGATCTGAAACACGTTACCTCACGTATAACAATAAAGATATACTGAGCATGATAATAGTTTTTTATTTTATTTTAAATATATTGGGAATCATGATGCAACACCTACTACTCACCCTTCAACGTTAGGCTAACCCTAGTGATTGATTATAGCTCTTTTTTATTATTAAGAAATATATTTTATCTATACACACCAACAAGCAAGTACGGACACGCTAAAATTTTCAAAATTCGCGTGTCGTACACGTGTCCGACACGAAGATGATCTGACACGCGTCTGACACGAAGTCAATATCTAGAAACACGCGGTCAACTTTTTTCGACACGTGGTCAACATTCGGATACGTTTTTTTTAGTCTTAATTTTATTTTATTAACTAAAAATAAAAAATATATTTATAAATCAATTTTTTTTTGTTATGAAATTTGACTTGAAAAATTAATAAGGTAAGAAAAATTATTTTTGTTTATATTTATGTTATGAAATTTGAATATTTGATTGGTTATATGAGACTTATTATGGACTGTTATATTTATTAAATATAAATTATATTATATATATTAAAAATATTATTTAATATCAAAAAGTGTCCCAACGTGTCGAAATATGTCATTTTTTAAAATTAAAGTGTCAGTGTGTCGTGTCGTGTCCCGTGTCAATGTTCGTGCATCATAGCACACCAATTTTATCCATTAAAGGAACATCTTGCATCCATTGCATTTATGGACTTTACTCTTTTTTTTTTGGTAAATATTTATGGACTTTACTCTACCAACATATAAAGTTATTATTGGAAAAATATTTTTCTTTTTAAGTAACACAACTTGTGTCATTTCACTCTTACAAAGGGGTGAGACCCACACTTTTATATTTTTTGTCCACTCTCTTCTCTTTTATCTATCTTTTTCTATCACTTAAAATGACATAAATTTACATCCTCCTTCAAAATGATACATACTTTTTTCGGTTATGATTATGCCTACAGTACATTTTCTCTCTTTTCGTCATCTGCAAAATATACACGGTGACTCCGTAAACTCACCACCCCAATAATTCAAGACCTATAACAATGGCCGTTGAATCATTTTCAAAGTCATCAAATCTATAACCAAGGTTTCAAGCTAATTGCATTCCTTGAACAATATCCTAAACCTCAGGATTGAAGGCTGACCAAGTTTCAAATATAATGAGCAAAACCTCTGATCCGCGTTGGCTCAATTTGTTAATGTGAAAATTTTGCTAACCAAATGTGGAGCTACACATCATTGTTAGAACTTTAGGCCCAATCACTAGCAATTATTTTTTAAAAATTTAGGACTTCGTCCATTTTTAATCCAAAAAATTATATAACTTTATCATGCCAAACAATTTCATGGAGTCGCTTTTTAAAAGAAAAATTACCTTATTAGTTTTTGTTTAATAAAATTTAATTCGTAATATCCGTATGTGAGTTAAGAATTGCAAAAGTATTTAGTTTATCAGAATGGATTAGGATTTATTGTAGGGAAAAATGTTTTTTATTTTAAATGACACAACTTATATCCTTTCACTTTCACAAGAAGTGGGACCCACACTTTTTATTTTTTTGTCAACTCTCTCTCTTCCTTTATCTATTTCTTTTTCTCTCTTAAAATGACACAACTTTACATCCTTTAAAATGACACACACTTTACCTTTTATTGTAAGGTAAGTGTGCTAATGCTAAACATGAAATGTATAGTTATAGACTTATAGTTGAAAGTGCATACCCGACAGCAAATATTCAAATAATGCCTATCACGGACTTTACTGTATTTTGTTTTTATTGGGCCGGGCCCAGTCCACTGGAAATATCGTCTTCCTTCGTCTCGTTTCGTTTCGTTTCGTTCCTTACCCTAAAACCCGAAAAACCCCACTGGTTCAGACGACGGTGAATCCAGCTCCCGCTACTTCTCTAGTGTTTTTCACACTTCACAGACTCTAATTCTATCCATTGTTAGATTCGAACATGGACGATAGCTTGTACGATGAGTTCGGAAACTACATCGGGCCGGAAATTGAGTCCGACCAAGACTCTGACAGAGAAGAAGAAGACGACGCCGAGGAACCCGAGGAAGCCGCCGCATCGGACGGCGAGGGTCCGAGCAACGGATGGATGACAACCACCTCGAACGACGTGGAAATGTTGGACAACCAGGTGGTTTTGGCGGAGGACAAGAAGTACTACCCAACCGCGGAAGAGGTTTACGGCGAAGACGTGGAAACCCTAGTGATGGACGAAGACGAACAACCACTGGAACAACCGATCATAAAGCCGGTGAGGAACATAAAGTTCGAGGTTGGCGTGAAGGACTCTTCGACCTACGTGTCATCGCAGTTCCTGCTTGGGCTAATGTCGAACCCTAGCCTGGTGCGGAACGTTGCGCTGGTTGGGAACTTGCAGCATGGGAAGACGGTGTTCATGGATATGCTGGTTGAGCAGACCCACCACATGTCCACTTTTGATACCCAGAGCGAGAAACACATGAGGTATACTGATACTAGGATTGATGAGCAAGAGAGGAGGATATCGATTAAGGCTGTTCCTATGTCCCTTGTGCTTGAGGATAGCAATTCTAAGTCGTATTTGTGTAATATTATGGACACACCTGGTCATGTTAACTTCTCTGATGAAATGACTGCTGCTTTGAGGCTTGCAGATGGTGCTGTCTTGATTGTGGATGCTGCTGAGGGAGTAATGGTGAGTGGTAACTCTTTTCAGATTCTTAAATGTTGCTCATGATCCTTATTCATGTTTAGACTTTTGGGTATTGGTCAGTTCCAGTTGAAAACTAATAGAACTCTTATTTAGGTTTAATTTCAACTTTACTTAATTAATTGCTTTTTCAGTTGACAATCTTATAAATCATGATACAGTTGACCTATCCTATCTGTTAGATTATTTCTATCTCCTCCCGGGTATAATACTAGTTACCTAGTTTTTAGTTTCTTGTGATTTGTAGGTTAACACTGAGAGGGCAATACGCCATGCTATCCAGGAGCGACTGCCTATTGTCCTTGTGATCAATAAGGTGAACACATTCTTCATTAACTTTAATGGGGGCTTTTAAGTTTTAATCTTAGATCTCTCACGGTTTTATTCTTAGTTGTTATGTGTTCTGTTTTTAGGTTGACAGGCTCATAACTGAACTTAAACTGCCCCCAAAGGATGCTTATCATAAACTAAGGCATACTTTGGAAGTCATTAATAACCATATATCTGCTGCCTCCTCTATTGCTGGCGATGTCCAAGTTATAGATCCGGTTGCTGGAAATGTTTGTTTTGCAAGTGCGACTGCTGGATGGTCCTTTACGTTGCAATCGTTTGCTAAACTATATGGGAAGCTACATGGTATTCCTTTGGAAGCTAATAAATTTGCTTCTCGTCTTTGGGGTGACTTCTATTTTCATCCAGATACCAGAACTTTCAAAAAGAAACCCCCTGCCAGTGGAGGGGAACGATCTTTTGTTGAGTTTGTGCTGGAGCCACTTTACAAGATATATAGCCAAGTGATTGGGGAACATAAAAAGAGTGTTGAGACGACTCTTGCAGAACTTGGAGTCACTCTTAGTAATGCAGCATATAGATTGAACGTTAGACCGTTGCTAAGGCTGGCTTGTAGCTCAGTTTTTGGTCCAGCTTCAGGTTTCACTGATATGCTTGTTCAGCATATACCTTCACCCAAAGATGCTGCAATTAAGAAAGTTGATCATATATATACTGGGCCTAAAGACTCGTCCATTTACAAAGCCATGGTACAGTGTGATTCTTCTGGCCCCCTAATGGTTAATGTGACCAAATTGTATCCAAAATCTGATTGCAGCGTGTTTGATGCTTTTGGTAGAGTTTATAGTGGCAAGATACAGACAGGACAGACTGTGCGTGTTCTAGGAGAAGGATACTCACCGGATGATGAGGAAGACATGACTGTAAAAGAAGTAACAAAGTTGTGGGTGTATCAAGCTCGTGATAGGATGCCAATAGCTGAGGCTCCTCCTGGTTCTTGGGTTCTAATTGAAGGTGTGGATGCTTCAATCATGAAAACTGCCACTCTTTGTAATGTGGATTATGATGAGGATGTATATATATTCCGGCCTCTTCTGTTCAATACTCTGTCAGTGGTAAAAACAGCTACTGAGCCATTAAATCCAAGTGAGTTGCCAAAAATGGTGGAGGGCCTAAGGAAAATCAGCAAGAGTTATCCTCTAGCAGTTACGAAAGTTGAGGAGTCTGGGGAACACACTATATTAGGGACTGGTGAGCTGTACTTGGATTCAATTATGAAAGACCTGAGAGAGCTCTATTCTGAAGTAGAAGTCAAGGTCTTCTATTATTTTCCCTACTCAATTCTTCTGTAATTGATTTTTATTTCTTTTGGGTTAGACATTGAATTAGAGCTGTTCCTTTTGTGAAGATTATCCTTTGCTTTGCTTTTGTAGGTAGCAGATCCTGTTGTCTCATTTTGTGAAACTGTTGTTGAATCTTCATCAATGAAATGTTTTGCTGAAACACCAAACAAGAAGAATAAAATAACTATGGTAGGCATCTACCTCCCTTTGTTGTTGTGTTGGCTTCATCAAGAATAGTATATGGTTTAGTTCACAAAGACTTCTTTTTCTTCTGAAGCTGATTTAATTTTCACTTTACTCATAGTAACCTTGATCATTCTTTAGATTGCTGAGCCACTAGAAAGAGGCCTTGCAGAGGACATAGAGAATGGTGTTGTTAGCACGGATTGGAATAGAAAGAAGCTTGGGGAATTTTTCCAGACCAAGTATGACTGGGATCTTCTTGCTGCACGGTCAATATGGGCATTTGGCCCTGATAAGCAGGTAAATTCTCTCTATCTGTCTATTTGTCTGTTTGTCTTCCTGAACTTTTGTTTAACATATGCAATGATAATGCAGGGCCCCAATATTCTGTTAGATGACACCCTTCCGACGGAAGTTGACAAGAATCTGCTGAGTGCTGTGAAGGATTCCATTGTTCAGGGGTAAACATACTATACATTGAACTATTTAGCTATTCATTGATTAATTGATTGTACATTGATTATGAGGTTTTATGTCATTTTATAGATTTCAGTGGGGTGCACGAGAAGGACCTCTCTGTGATGAGCCCATCAGAAATGTTAAGTTCAAGATTGTTGACGCAAGGATTGCTCCTGAACCACTTCATCGGGGATCTGGCCAGATCATTCCAACAGCACGACGAGTGGCCTATTCAGCTTTCCTTATGGCTACCCCTAGGCTTATGGAACCAGTATATTACGTAGAGGTACATGCTTGCTATTTTATACTTTAATGATGGCTGCATATCAAATTTGATTGTAATCATTCTGTGATTTCTTACATTTTGAATAATTGATTATTATATTATGTGAGAAGGATTTGTATTAAAGCTAATAAGCCGAACATGTTCGTAGTTTGAATTTAAATGATGGCCTAATCAAATATGGCTGGGCATAAAACAATTGTATTTGTACTAATTTTAGTCAGTGTTTTGAGATCAATAATTTTAATATTTCACTGATACTTGCTTTGATGGTAATGTTATTCTGTTGGCCTTTGCATCAGATTCAAACACCAATAGATTGTGTATCTGCGATCTACACTGTGTTATCCCGTAGGCGTGGACATGTTACTGCTGATGTTCCTCAACCAGGCACGCCGTCTTACATTGTTAAGGTTGGTGGCTAGCTTTTGCCTACAAACTTTTAATGGATGTTGCTTCTTTAGACGACTATGATTTTGTTAGAGAATAATATAAACCATTAAAGAAGCCCTCACTCATAAGCTTAAGCTGTTGGGTTGAAAGGGTTTTGTACATGGTATTAGAGCCTTGGTGTAACAGGTTCGATCCTCACCGCCTCCATTTAATTAATAATTAATCAAGTCTTGTGGAGTTTCTTAGCACAGGTAGGTGGGCCTGTGCATTGTCCACCCTTCAAGCCCAGTGAGCTCTTGTGTGAGGGGGCGTGTTAGAGAATAGTATAAACCATTAAAAAGGCCCTCACTCATCAGCTTAAGCTTTTGGGTTGAATTGGTTCTTTACAAGTTTTGAAGATGTTTTGATTATAGGGTTGAGTTTCTTTATGTGTGCTTGAGAAACTTGGTTTGCTGACTTTGTTCGTCACTTGTCTCAGGCATTTTTGCCAGTGATAGAATCTTTTGGTTTTGAGACGGACTTGAGATACCATACGCAAGGTCAAGCATTTTGCCTTTCAGCTTTTGATCATTGGGCTATTGTTCCCGGAGATCCTCTGGACAAAAGCATTGTTTTGCGCCCACTTGAACCAGCACCAATCCAGCACCTTGCCCGTGAGTTTATGGTAAAAACAAGGCGTAGGAAGGTATGGCTTTTTCCTCCTTGTTCTCTAGGCAGTCACTAACTATTATAAAATTTTATTTTTTATTTAAATTTTTTCCTCGAGGTCTTATGATAATCATCATTCACATTTATGTTCAAGCCCTCGTAGCTTTGATGATTTGCTTTAACCTTTTGTGTAAAGAAGGGAAAATAAAAAGAAGAATATCTTTAAGTAGAACACACGAGTCATGCAATGTTATTAGAGGGAAGTTAGAGGAATGTCAGGATATTTTTAAAATATCTGGAAAAAAAAGCATCTATGCTAACTGTCCTCTGCAAACAGCACTGCATTTAACGCATGTTACTCCTGTATATAATCTTGCAGGGAATGAGTGAGGATGTCAGCATAAGTAAGTTCTTTGATGAGGCTATGATGGTCGAGCTGGCACAGCAGGCAGCAGATCTTCATCAACAAATGATGTGATTCTTTATAGAAGCTTCTATCCAATTTGGTCTTCATTTTTTATTTTTCTTCAGAAGTTTGGGCCTTTGGGCTGTTCGATTCATAAACAAATGATATGTGATGCAAGCAAAATTGTAAGTGTTTTGCTTTGCGAGTTGGCTTTTTTTTTTTTGAGTGTGCTCAAGGGTATCCCCACCCCCTTTGGGGGTGAGACTCTAATCCCAACCGTGCATTGTCGGTCTCTTGCGGGGGTAGCATTATCCAATCCGTTTTTTCCATATCCAGAGCTCGAACTCGAGACCACTGGTTAAGAGAACTCAGACACCTTCCATCTGAGTCGACGGGTTTGGGTTGCTTTGCGAGTTGGCTTTGGCACAACTGTTTAATGTACTGGTGCAAACACCTATGCCATTGAAGGTATCACCAATCCAGCGGGGGCATCTTTTGTATCTGTAATTCTGTGTTGAAGGTATCACTAATTGTAGTAGTACTAATATTATTCCCACCCCTCCCCAAAACAATGAAAATTGTACGAATGATTTTATTTTCAATGCCTGCATACTACATAGGTTCAAGAAACTTCTATTTTCACTGAAGTTAGTGCAACAGTAATTCCGTGAGTCAAGCCACAAAAACCAGGCAACGCTGAAAAAATATGATAGATAATTTAGGCTGGGCCCTTGGTTTTGTGATGGTATACGCACCGAAGCACGGACACGTGGTTTGAAAAAAAAATTGCGTGTCGGACACGTGTTGTCACGGACATGCTCGGACACGCGGTCAACATTTGGGGATACGCGGTCAATTCTCCGACACGTTCCGACATGTTTTTTGGACACGCGATCAACTTTTTAGGACACGCAGTAAACGTTAGGATATGCTCGGATACGTTTTTTTTTTTATTAATTTTAATTTTATTTTGTTAACTAAATATAAAAGAAATAATTTATAAATTAATTTTTTTTTGTTATAAAATTTGATATGAAAAATTAACAAAGTACAAAAAATTATTTATATTTATATTTATGTTACGAAATTTAAATATTTGACTGGTTATACGACTTATTATGGACTTTTATATGTATTAAATATAAATTATATTATATATATTAAAAATTTATTTAATATCAAAACGTGTTCAAATATGACATTTTTTAGAATTAACGTGTCGGCGTGTCGTGTCCCGTTCCGTGTTCCGTGCCCGTGACCGCTGTGTCCTTTACTGATGGGGAATTCGCTGAAAGGCCCTCATTCATCTTTATATCGCGTTCTCATTTTTATTCGCTGAGGGTGAAAACAAATGTTTGAGCATGATTCACTTCCGTGGAAATAATTCAACACCTTTTTGGGATTTTACTATTCATGATGCACACTGTTTTTGCACCCCTCATTGGAGAATAATCCACCTACGTCACTACAGCTTGGCGTCATTGATTGTCGGTGATCACTTTCTATATTCCTTTCATGAAGGTGTTAGGACTTTTTAGTGTTGTGATCAAGAGCGTTTTTACTAAGTGCGCTTAGTGATTGGTCCACGAGCCACCACACACAAAATAATGTAGGCCCTGGGAAAATTTACTCTAGTAGAATAAAGCAATTTGAATAGTTTTTTTAAAATGCTTTTGACCTCAATCATCAGAATCGGAACGAATAATAATCTCCAATCTCCAATGGGGTCCAAAAACTTTCAGCTCCACACCATGAGTTTGTTCTAATAAAATCATTAAAGGCAAAAAAGTTCACACATTTTGGAGGCATCTTGGAGCTTCTGTAGCTAACAAGAAAAATGCGTGTGTTAAGTCCATCTGCTATGAGGAGCTTGACCGTTAAACAAAATTAAAATCAATGAAAAATAAAGAGTAAAATGCCACAATATTGTGTGCATAAATCACAATGCCCCAGGTATACATCATTCATATCCTCTAATCAGTTGCACTCTCAATTATACGATGATATGCATTTTATTAGAATTTGGCACCTAAGTATGCTTATTGCTCTCTCAGGGATCAGCAACCAGAGGAAGCAGGAAGGCATTTTCTGTGTGATAGATGAATTTATGTACATAGTCACAGCTAGTGTTGCAGTTGCAGACAAGAATGTTCTATCCTTGAAGCAGGTATTTAAGACTCTGAAGTCCCTCAGCAGATATGCTTCTCCTGACTCTAGGCCTTTCAACAACCACAGGTGGTGGTGGATCTGAGTGAAAACATACCATCACCACTGTCAAGTTGTCAGTTGCTCCTCTCTTCATTGCTTCCCCTATTAGTTCCTTGCAACACTGTTTCACATCATTATGCTCTTGAAGCCTCCTCCGAGCATAATCTACAGCATTTTGGCTACGAAAAACATCCCAGATTCCATCACTGCCAATTATCAAGAACTCATCTTCTTTGGTTAATGTGATCAATTTAAGTTCAGGCTCAGCACTCAGTGGTCCAACTCTTCCACTCATTCCCTTCATTCCTTCAAGATGCCAGTCACCAAGAGCACGTGTAACTCCTAACTGGCCATTCAGGTAACCATCATCAATGAATCCACCAAGGGACTCAATCCGCATCCTTTCTTTAATACACAAGGGCCTATGATCTTTGGACATTTCTATAGCCACTCCACAACGGGACAACACTGCCCTGCAGTCTCCAGCATTGGCTACAAGTAAAGACCTGTATACAAGACGATGACATTTATTTCAAACACATCCCATACTAAAATAGCTGCATTAAAACTCTATTCAAAACAATTAAACAAGGTGCTATGATTCAAGATTTATGCAACTCAAAACATTAGTGGAGAGAAGGGAACAAGAATGTGATACTAGGACACTACATCTGACTCCAGAGAAGAGTGGAGATGGGTGTTCACCTTCCAAATATAATTGCAGTCAGTGCAGTTGTACCAGAAGACTGGGAAGACTCAATAGAGCATGTTTTTTCAAACTCTGCATCTGTCTTCAAAAATGATTTTGTGACCACCTTCTCAAGTTCCAAAGGAAAGTCAGCATCTTCAACAATCACCCTCGGCAGATGATCACGAACAAATTGCGCAGCACTCTTCCCTCCATGTCCATCAAATACCTACACAGCAAACCATTTGTCCTTTACATGTCAAATCCTGATTAAAAGGAAGCATACCTACAAAAAGATTTTTATCCTCCTTTTGTGCTGAGTGAATTTTCCTAGCTAATATAATTTGTTTTACCCACAATTCATCAATTACAACGCTGAAATGGGAGGGGGATGACAATGAAGAAGAGAGGCCAAGATCTCACCTTTTAAAAAATTCAAACTAGGAAATATTCTAATCACTCAATCTTGTGAACTTGTTTAAATTTTAATTTATTTAATAAGTAAACATAAGCAGAATAGGTTAATGGAACATGTTATCTAATATTTCCTAACTTTGACTCATAACATCGTATAATGTTATCTGGTCTTTGTATAGTTCTATACATATCTAATTATATGTTCATTTGCTTGCTAATTTATGGGAGAGGAAACTTTTGAGGCATGAGTTCTCATTGTGTAAAGAGACCATTTCAACTGAAGCAAAAACATATCCAACTATGAGACCATATCCCATTGTGTGATATGAACACAAGATGATTGACCCCCCTTTCAGAGAAGGTACCTACCTGTCTTTTAAGTTATTCATCAACTGATGCAAGAAACACTTTCTAGCTGGTTCCTATTCGTTTGTGGATTAAGAATGTTTTGAATTTTCTTCCCATTATTATCACAAAAATAGCAATGGAAGAATTAAATTGAAATTATGACAACAGACAATTAGCATAATCAGTTAGATGACTTACACCATAAAGCGAAACAGCTTCCTCACTGTGAACATCATAACCAAATTTCTTCGCCAAGTCTCCAATGCAAATGTGGGTATCCTCCATGTAAGGGCGTTCTCCAATATGAGACCACTCTCCAGACCGAAGAGAAGGGACAAAGTTCATCAGGTTCTGTTTTTTGTCTGCAAACTCTGTATCCTCACATATGCTTTCCATCTAAAATGTACCACAGCAGAAAAAAGCAAATGAGCTAACATAATAGGAGCCTTATGCAGCCAAAAAAGTTAGGAAATAGAAGATGCTGCTGGTTTCACGAGTAGCTTGTTGGTTTGGAGCTTGTCTTTTAACCACAAAGAACTCGCTCCAAACCCAGCACAAAAGAAGATGAGTAGAAGATGCTAAAACAACATCAAATGAGCCATGGAAAGTAAGAAATAGAAAAGTACTTTCATAAAATACACAAACACAACATAATTCTGAAATTTTATCTGTCGTCAATTTCAGCAATCCGTAACTATCATCAAAAGAAAGTTATAATTATGAACCAACAAAATGTGCTCACAAATAAGAATCGTTTAGAAAAAGAATGCAAAATGAAGGAACGCAGTTAGATAACAAACTTAGTTTCCAGTCTCCAATTTCTAACACAATTACTTCTAACATAGCTAGCCTTTAATAATCACATCTGAGAAAATTTCAAGATCACATAACCCTTAGAAGTTATATTTATTTTGCAGGTTATCTTCTACCTAAGAAACACGAGAAGCATCCAAGAAAAGGATGAGCAAGGATACAAATAATAATAATAATAAAAACCTTTGAACCATCTAAAACAAATTACCAATTAAGTCTATTTGAAGTCTCCAAAGTCTGATTGAAAGAGTATGCACAAAAGTTAGGTAACAGTATCTAGGAAACAAAAAAAATACAAGAACCAAAAAGAAAAAATAAAATAAAATGGCAACCCATGAAAGAAAAAAAGAAAGAAGATGATAAGGGAATCCATAAATTACAGGGACGCAATTTTCAGAAGTCATCTGATCAGTGGGGGTTCTAAAAGAAGAGGCTTTTTCGCGGTTGGCATGCAAGAGATCACAATGCAGAGGCCATGACATCCTTCTGTTATCAAGATTCTCCATATCTTGAGCAACTTGCTCACCGTCCTGCACACACATGGTGAGGTTTTGCAAGTAGTACCTTCTCAGCAACTAGCAGTTGCAGTTGCAGCCATTGAAATCACAAAGTAAAAGTCACAAACAACTCGCACATGTAAGAGACTTGATGAAAGTTTGTGGCTTAAACTAAAGAGACATAAAGAGAGAGAAAAGAAGATTCTTAGAATATGTTGGAAAAAAAAATGATGGGGTTACTATTATGTTTATTTGAATATATTAGTGTCAGCGTGAATGAGTGTGAAAAAGAACAAGAGCCGTTAAGGTTCCAGATTTTTCTATGAAAGCGTGGTCCAAAATTGTTGGTTGGATTTATTAGGTGATTCTTTATATTAACTATAATGTTTTTCACAATTAAGCTTCCATGATGTCCTTTTCAATGCTGACTTGATATTGTTTTCCTTCTCTTTTTTCTACCTTCATATGTAACACTCTCAGATAATCTCTCATGTGAAAAATCTTCTAAGATATTTATACCAAATTTTTATGTTCTCATTTATACCAAATTTTTGTTGCTCTCATTAGGTACTGTAATGGCGCGTTCAAAACTCAACTTGCTAGGGATAATTTTCATGAAAATTAGGGAACTATTGTGGGAAGTTGGAATACATCATTAAATAAAACTGACTATGACTAATTGATCATAGCCATTTGAAACATCAATTTTTTTAATAATATATTTAGGTAATGTGTAGCCAATCTATGCACATATCAATTAATGACTCGTTTCAATCAAAATAAGTTATTTATAAATCATTAGGATTGGTCTACTGGTGAGAGATTTGAGTAGTTTACATGATTTCATAAGTTTAAACCACAGTGTCACTATTGTATAAAAAAAAAGTCATTTGTAACATTTTTTTAAAATGTTACATTTTTTCAGTGATGTGTTCATATGTGAATGTTGTATAAAACAGTTTTACTTACATCAAAAGTAATTAAAATTAAACAATGATTTTTTTTGTTCTAAGTGATTTATTGTTTGAACTTTTCACCATTATGCCAGCTAGAGAAAAATTAAAAGAAATCGAAGAGGTCTACTTATTACATAGCATACAATAATCCTCTGTCAAGAGCTTAACTAGAAACAAGTTAAGTCTTAAGTTATTTTTTGTTTAATAGAAATTGAACACACAACTTAATATAACCTATCCAAATCTCTCGGTCTCTTATCACTAAACCAATCCTAATTGCTGGAGTCTTCAGTTATAATGTTAGAAAAATATCAACAAAATGTTAGAAAAATATCAACAACATACACGAAAAGGAAATCCAACTAACGTTTAATAGATATAAACAAAAATTAATATTGTACTAACATAATAAATGTTGACTAATGATATTTTCCTTAAAAAAAATTGTGGTTGTTATAATACATGTGATAAATGTTGACTAATGATATTTAAAAAAAAAAGGAAATTTGGTAGTAATAATCAATCATTGTGGTGTCTAAAGGTATTCAAACCCAAAATTTGTAGCTGTAGGAAATTCCTTTTAGATTGTTCTTTTGAGGATAAGATCCATGAGTAAATAATTTCCTTGAGAGTTAGGTAGACGGGGTTTAGAGGTCCAACTCCAAGGTAGCAAGCAAATAACTATTTTTTTTTTTTAGCCATTTCTAATATTCAGAGCTGGCTTTCATACTAGCTATATTATTCAACACCACATTTATTACTTGCTAAACTAAACTACGCTTTTAGTTGAGGACATAGAAACTTACTCTATTATTTTATAAAAAAATTCAGACACGTGATTATCATTATCATTTTCCACAACGGGAGTGGTTGTTGTTGGTTTGACCCTCCTCCTAACGAGGGGCAACTAGTAATTTACAATGATAATATAATAGAGAAACAAAAGTATTGTATTATCTAGCTATATTCCCAAAATAAAGATATAATAATCCCTTTTTTTTCTCATCATAGAGATGCCTTCTGTAATTTGACCTTTTCTTATAAAAGGAAATAATTTGATCTTATCTTATAAAAGGGAAAAATAAAAGCAGATAAAGTCTTTCAATAGTTGAGATGCATTCATGCACCTTTTTGGAGAAGAGATTTGCTTATCAATTGGAGCATGCATTCGTGCTTAAAATATTTGCCGTTTTGGTTGTAATTCTCTCCTTCCCTTCCCAGAGAAAGAATGTACAAAGTTAAGGAATTAATGGCTATGTTCCACAGGTAAAAGATACGTGTTTAATCGGTGTATGACACAATACCTAATTTTTTAAAAAGCTAAGGTACGAGTACATCAATATATACTATATAAATAAATATTTATTAAAATGAAAGTTCGCTATTAATTTTGAAGAAAACAAGATTGCAAGAGTGTAATTGTGCTTTGAGAGAAGGAATTACTCAGAACGGGACTTGAATTTGTATTTTTAAATTTTTAAATGACAAGAATGGAATTAAGGATACGTTAAAAATACGAATGCAAGTCGTCAATTTTAAAATATCCATGCATCATATACCATTGGAAGATAGTGTAACAATAAGTTAAAAAGACATCCATCTAGACAACGGAGTTTGCTCTATTTTATTAATCACCAACAATGATGCAAAAAAGATTTAAAGACAAAATTTTATAAAGTTGATTGGCTAGTGCTAATATAAAGGACTTGTTCAGGGAAAACATAATAGGGTAACGACAATAGACGACTCTATTCGAGTTTCTATAATAGCCCTAGCTAGCTGCGTAAACAAATCAGCACCACCTTTAGATATAGCTCTATACATGAATTTGTTGGATCAAGTGCTGTATGACCCACCCCATCACTCATAAGTGCCCTAGTTGAGTTAATCATATATTAATAATATCAAGATAGTTAATCATATATGATCAAATTTTGTTTTTTTTATCCGAGTATGAGCTATATAAATTTAGTGGCTATCCCTGCTAGGATTCCAACAAGGACCATAATGTTGATATAAAAAGTACTCTTTATGGTCAAGTCAAGGTACCAAAAAGGAAGGTGCTCTTTTGCACTAAAAAGTTGTGTTATGACACTAAAGATGCACAAGAATCTTTCTCATTCATGCCTTGGTGGGAGAACGGTGTTCACTGAAGATTTGTGCCAATCCCACTTTGTCGTCAGTGGAAGGGCTCTAAGAAAATCAGTGCCTTCATATAACTCATTAGATGTGAGATTTTTTCATTGGTAATGGCCAATACCAAAAGGGCAAAAGTCAACTCAACGGGAAGTATATATATAACATAACAGCACTCGAGAAATTACAGAATCCTCTATACGAGCATTTTTATATTGTAACGAGTAGCGTCATTAAGCCAAAAGATTTGTGTGGTTCTGATTCTAATAGCACCATATTTATCCAATGTCATTGCGTCTTTGCTTTATGTTCCGAGTTCCGACCACTCGAGAGGAAGGGAAAACTAGAGACCGAATATAATATTTATCTACAGGGGAGTGGCTACAATAAATACTTGAGAGAAAAAAAATAGAGGCCATTACAATAAAATAAATAACAAAAAGCATCCGAATCTTACTAGTAGTAAAATAATGAATCGATTAAAATATTAATTAATGGTGATAAAAGAAGAGAGAAAAAAAAAATCATAATCATTTAAAAATGAATTAATTGATATAAGAAAACAAATAAACAAAACGACGTAGTTTTTGGGTGATAAAAAATAATTTATGGATACAAGAAAATTTGTTTCTTTGTGTGTTTTATTTGTTTCTTTACAAGAAAATTTATTACGAATGAAATTCAACTATAGATATAATTAATGGATGCATCAAATTTACACAAGCATAAATTGGATAAGATATGTTATATCTACGTAGAGGGGGAAAAAACAAAATAAAAGCCAAATTACTTTAATACACAATAGAGCAAGATTTTGTGAAACATGTTGGTCGAATTTCAATAACGACACTAATTGGTGATTTGGGCAAGACAGAAAGTAAACTTGCCAACCATACTTATAGGGTGTCAGACTATAAATGAGGGCAATTGCTTTGACAATGATGTGTAGACATCAACAGTACTTATAACAAGCCTAGGCTAGGCTAGACAATAGACATTGCTGACAGTTTTATTATTGATCCAGTACACCCCCCAACATAGTTAGTTGGCTTCAAGTCACGGACAGTGGGGCATACGCTACGCATATCAACTGGGGGCACAACTGTACAACTTAGGTCCAATTCCAGCTAGATCAATAATGCCATTGCCAGGGTTCCAGACCCATGCAACCACTGACCGTCAATTCAAACTTTCCCTCTGATGTAAAACCAATAATAACATGTCTTGCACATAACTTTGTTTTTTTTTTTTTATGTTTTTTTTTTTTATCTTGTTTTTGAGCTTCGACCCTTATACCAATATAATTATATAAATAAGGTTTAGTGTGTCATTTAAAAAGATATAAATTGTGTTCTTTTAATGACTTACACAGAGTATGACCGGTTATACTATGTGTAATTCTAAAAAATTATTTTTTTTCATTTTACATGTCAGTGATGTGAATGAGGAGAGAGAAAAAAATAATTTTTCATATTTACACAAAATATAACTGGTCATATTTTGTATAAATCATCTAAAAGGACACAGCTTATATTATTTAAAATAATACTTCTTTTTTCCATAAAAATATTGATCGTTACAAAAAGAATCACAATGGGAAATGTTGCTTTAGTGTTTAATTTGTTTTTTTTTTTGCCCGCATTCAGCAAATGATGCTTTAGTACTTATTTCGCTCTCTTTTCTTTCTTTGATTACTTTATCTTTGTTAATTTTTTAATTTTTTTTCCTTTGAATTTTATGCTTTGTCAGATGCAATTCTTACAGAAGAGTCTATAAAAAACATAACTCTTGAAGAAATTGATAAGGTACTGCAGAGCAATGGGAAATGCCTCTCTGATTATCCGTCAATGCCACGCATCAATAGTGAAACTTTGCTTGATATGCAAAATCGATTAGTGTTGGATGAATTAATGTATGACATATTTACTTTGGAAGAGGAGCATAAAAGACTAATTAATTCCCTCACTGATGAGCAGAAAGCTGTTTATGATAAAATTGTTTTAGCAGTTACGACAGGTAATGGAGGGTTATTTTTCCTATACGGGTTCGGTGGTACAGGAAAAACATTTATTTGGAATACTCTTTCAGCATCTATTAGATCAAAAGCTGGAATCGTACTTAATGTTGCTTCTAGCGGAATTGTTTCCCTTCTGCTTCCTGGAGGACGAACAGCGCATTCTAGATTTCGTATTCCTATTCAAATCAATGAAGATTCAACGTGTAATATAAGGCCGAAATCTACTATAGCTGAGTTGCTGTCAAAAACAAAGCTAATCATTTGGGATGAAGCTCCAATGGTACATAGATTTTGCTTTGAGGCTCTGGATAGGACACTGAGAGATGTTCTTAGAATTTCTGATACAAGCTGTGTTGATATGCCATTTGGTGGAAAAGTTGTTGTTCTTGGGGAGGGGGCTGAACCTTTAGCCATCACTGTTCCCCCGCACTCCGGATTAGTCCCATAGCCGGCTCAAAGAGTCGAAGCTCGTGGGGATACCGGAGGGAGCCAACTCGTCTCAAAAAGATAATTAGGGTTGGGTAACTCCAAAAAAAAATATTACCTGTCATTCCTCATGGCAGCAGATAAGATATAGTTCATGCAACCATCAATTCTTCTCATCTATGGTCCCATTGTCATTTATTAACTTTGACCAAGAACATGCGTCTTAATTCTGGAAGTAGCGCTCACAATTTAGAGGAAATAAAAGAATTTTCTGAGTGGCTACTTAAAGTTGGGGATGGTAATCTTGGAGATGATGTTGATGGAGAATCTATTATAACAATTCCAGATGAATTGTTGATTAGAGAATCGGAAGATCCGCTGTCGGATATGGTTAATTTTGTTTATCCGAATCTCTTGGATAATATTTTGGATCAAACCTTCTTTAAAGAACGTGCTATTCTAACTCCTAAATTGTCCGATGTTGCTATGCTAAACGAGCACCTAATGTCTATGATTCCTGGTGAAGAAAGGACTTTTTTGAGTTCGGATAAAATTCTTAAGCAAGGTGGGACTTCCTCTGTTGAGGATGATGAAATCACCCATGAGATCTTAAATACATTATCATGCTCAGGGATTCCTGATAATAAATTAATCTTGAAAGTTAAAGTTCCAGTAATGCTATTAAGAAATATTGATCAGTCGAGAGGTTTATGCAATGGCACGAGATTGCTTATTACAAAATTAGGGAATCATGTTGTTGAGGCAATTGTACTTACAGGAAGCAATATAGGGGAAACTGTGTTAATCCTAGAATGACGATGAGCCCATCGAGTCATACATTTCCTATAAATTTTCAAAGAAGACATTTCCCCCTGATTGTATCGTTTGCCATGACTATCAACAAGAGTCAAGGACAATCACTTTCACATGTTGCAATTTATCTCCGTAAGCCTGTCTTCACTCATGGGCAATTATATGTAGCACTGTCTAGAGTAAAAAGTAAGCATGGATTGAAGATATTGATACTTGATGAAAATGGCTGCGTTACGAATAGTACCCTTAATATAGTTTACAAGGAAGTATTTCAAAGACTGCTATAGTATATTGGGTTCTTTCTTCAAAGATATAACTTCGTTGTATGGTACAGGTAAAGACAAAAAAAATGACTGTTTATTCGCGTCTCTTTTCCTTATCTATCTTCAAAGATATGACCTTTATTATTCTATTTTCTTTCCTATTTTTAATGTAACAATGAATGACTGTTTTGTTATTTAAAAAAATGACTGTTTGGGACCTTTGAAATACTGACAAAATGAGTTCGGCCCGGAGGGCCGACCCACCATGCCAAACAAACCAATTTTTTTTCCCGTGCATCGGCACGGGTAATTCACTAGTTAGTTATAAGAGTGATAAATTTTTCTTGTGGCAAGTGGATTTATTCCCTATAAGAATGTGTATCTAAGTTATGTAACACTCCCAAGAAAATGCATTTAAGTCATGCATCACTCCCACAACTTTGGAAAAAGGAAAAAATTCACGACCCCGTGTGATAACTTATCTGCAATAAGTCAATACGACGTCGTTTTGGGACGAAAATCATGGTGTTTTTGTAATTTTAAGGTTATAATAGTCTTTATATTTATAATTTTTTAAGATTTCAATACCAAAACGACGTCGTTTTGAGAATAAATGCAGATAACTTATCTGCATTAACTGCAGAAACATTTTTTCCTTTATTTTTTAATCACTTAACCTTCTATGATTTTTTTCATCCACATCCCTCCTTACTCCTTTATACCGTTAGAAAAATAACTAAGTATACTTATTCTACTCTTCTTAGAAGAAGAAAATAAAGTGATAAAAAAGAAAAGAAAAATAAGACCAAATGTTATGAAAAATTAGAACACTTAATAAAATAACAAACGAAAAAAATAGTAAAAAAAATTCAAATGTGTCTAAAAAAAATAATATATAAAAGAAGAAAATAAAAAAATAAAAAAACTAGAAAAAAAAAATCATACTTTTGAATTTCCAATATTTTTTCTTTTATTTTTTTATCTTTGGTCTATTTATTCTTTCTATTTAGATATATTTGATCTTTTTTATATCTCTATTTTATTCTCTCTTTCTTTTTATTTTTTTTACAAAAATCTTTAGTAGATAGGGTGACACAAGACAAAAAAAAGGAGAACAAAACCAGATAAGATAGACAAAAAAATAAAAATAAAAAAAGGCCAAACATATTCAAAAGAGAGAGAATAGAATAGACCAAGAACAAAAAAGAAAAAATAAAACTAAATATATTGGAAACTCATAAAAGCGATTTCTTTTTATTCTATTTCTTTTTTATTTTATTTTTTATCTTAATTTTTTCTTCGAATTTTTTGTCTTCAGTCTACTTTTTTTCTTCATTTGGACTATTTTTATTTTTTTTTTAATTTGTCTTTTTGTGATTTTTAATATATTTGATATTATTTTTTTCTTCTACTTCTTTTGAGAGACAAACCACAAGTATCCGATACTGGAGGCAATCCTGTACGAGTCAGGTCCAGGATTGAAGCTTTAAATTCTTCCCAAAAGTATTGGGGAGAAGCGAACACATGTTCTCATCCCGACCTGATAAGTTATCATGCGCCAATTGAGCTACCATCATTTAGTTTCTTCTATTTTTTTGTTCTTATTCTATTTATTTATTTATTTTTGGCACATTTGACTTCTTTTTTTTTTACTATTTTCCCTTTTAGTCTTTTATTAAGGGTTTTAAATTTTCATAATATTTGATTTGATTTTTCTTTTTTTTATCATTTTATCTTTTTCTTCTAAGAATGGTAGAATAAATATACTTAGTTAATTTTCTAATAATGTTAAAGAAAGATGTGGATGAAAAAAAACCACAAGAGGTTAAATAATATTAAAAAAATACAAAAATATAAATGATTCAAAACAACACCACGTGTTTTTTTTTTTTTTTACTTTTTCCTTTGGAAAATCAAGGAACAGTGACCATTGTGCCACTGTTCACCAACTTTTTTACCTAAATGTCACGCGATCAGTGTTATTTTTCAATCTGCCACGGGACAAGTTCGCTTCTGACACAAGCGACCTCGGTTTGCTGATGTGTCAGCTTCCTGGTGATGTCAGAGTTCGCTTCTGACACAGGCGACATCGGTTGCAACAATATTTTAACCAAGTTCGCCTACATGGTAGGCGAACTTCATTTTTTTTGAAATTTTTTTTTTTAAAATTTAATACTTGTTATCCAATAAAAATGAGACACGTCAGCAAACCAAGGTCGCTTGTGTCAGAAGCGAACTTGCCCCCGTGGCAGATTGGAAAATAACACTGTTCGCGTGGCATTTATGTAAAAAAGTTGGTGAATAGTGACATTTTGGTCAATATCCCGGAAAATCAATGCATTACTCCCATGTGCACTTTTACATTGTGCTAACTAATATAAAATTACGCATAAAAATAATGTTACTTAAATGCACACACTTTCCATACATATTTCACTTATATGATAAATAATTTGTCAAAAATTAAACTTGTATTTACGACGGGTAAATGATGAAAATATATGAACCACTCCTTTAATGACCATGCGGGTTGTGAGTTATTTTTTCTCGGCATATATAATTTTATTTTCTATTACAATTTATTGAGAAAAAAAAAAATTTTAATGCCCTCCCAAAATACATAGTTATATTAAAATAGTAGTAAAAATAATTGGTAGTACGAATATCTTATCTCTAATTTTCTTAAGGCAACCATCTAACACATGACGGATGTACATGGAACAAAAATATTAAATATACATAATTGAAAAACAGAAATGGAGGACTTGAACAGTGCCAAAATAATTGCTAATAGTAATCTAGAACCATAACGTACATCAAAATCCTTAACATTTAACCACTCATCGAACAAAAGCTCAAAAGCAATCCAAAATTGATCAGATCTTCATATTTGTCACCTTCCAAAAATCAAATCTACTAACTAAAAAGGTAACACTGCCCTTCAATAAAAACTTACAATCAAATCTCAAATTCCGGTAAAGGCCTTCTTCGCACCACTAGAAGATCCAGCTGGGATAACTTTCAAGACATTGAACCTCACTGTCTTTGAGATTGGCCTACAGAAGTGATACATATAAAGGCAATCAGACAGAAACTTTATAATATACAAAAGATCTTCCGATTAATACACACAAAAAAAGTTTCTACTATAGTCTCACCTGCATTGACCAATAATAACATGGTCTCCTTCCTTCACACGGAAGCAAGGTGATACATGAGCAGGAATATTTGAATGCCTCTTCTCGTACCTAAGTAGAATAAGTTGCAAAAAACAAGGAATTACAATTTATGTTTCTTTAGTGGGCAACTACATATAAAAATTGGACACCAGAAGTATGACGGAAGAATACCTCTGATACTTCTTAATAAAATGAAGATAATTCCTCCTAACAATAATAGTTCTTGTCATCTTAGCACTGTGACAAGTTCCAGCTAAGATACGGCCCCGAATGGAAACATTGCCGGTGAAGGGGCACTTCTTGTCAATATAGGTTCCTGTATTGAATTGAAAAAAATAAAGTAAAATCAAAGACCTTGGATCAGCAACAGAAATGACCATAAGTCCATAACCACATACAGAGAGAAATAGCCAAGTCCTTTCATATGGAATGATACAAGTATAAAAAGAAGATTATGACATGACATGAGCAGAGTTTTAACTATATGTATTAAAAATCATCAGCCTCTCACTCATCAAATGTGGATTTTAAAGTAACTGGACTCGTGCAGATTATTCCGTTACCTAGATTATAACTATCTCCCAGCAACGCAAGCATAACACAACACCAGAGTATCTACATTTTTTTTTTATAGAAAACCTGAGTATGTGCATATATAAACCAATCACTGGATCATATAATAAAAAAATGTTCTTACAATACACGTATGTCTCACATCTCTGACTTGAAATGCTTTGTTTAAGAACCATTACAATAAAACAACACGCACTCCAATTTATCAGATAAAAACCACCAACAAAAATTAGCAAATATTTTCGACTACATCATATTTAAAGGAATGTATATCTATCTTTCATATCATGTTCAGCCTTTTGGAGACCATGTACAGTACTAACATCAACACAGTTCCACCATTAGATCAACATGAAAACTCAAAGCTTCACAATAGCGTTGCAAATTAAAAACAATGGATGTGTAGCAACCACTAAGAAAGAGGACCCTCAATGGGAAGATGATTCCAGAACTTAATTTACCAACACTCACATCCACAAAATTAAACATTTATTATAATTTGACTAAATCCATTTCCACAAAGATAACCTGATAGATTCAGGTTACACAGATTAAGCATTTTATGAGAGAGTGAGAGATAGAGATAGAGAAAGAGAAATACCTTCAATGGCATCCCTTGGAGTCTTAAATCCAAGCCCAATGGATTTCCAAAAGCGGTTCCCACCTTTTCCAGGCCTCTTTCCCTTCCCAGATTTTTTCGTGCTGAGAAAATTGGGAAAAGAACAAACTATTCTGAATCAACATAAGAATGAAAAGACCAAAAAACAAAATAAAAAATTAAGCATTGTTTAAAAATATTTAGTATACCTTAGAAAAACTTTTGGTTGCTTCAGAAAAGCTTTCTCAGTCTGCAACACATAGTTAAATAAAAAATCAATGGAAGATCCAAAAGAGACTTAAGTACTATCAGTAAAACGAGATGAAGAAAAAGACTATAAAATAAAAAAGTATATATATGGAAAAAATGGATATGAAGTTACTTGTTCAGCCATGGCGAAAGCAGTTATCGGCGAAGGTTGCAGAGGAAGATGTCTGTGTAGCCGCACTCAGAAACCCTAACCAGTTCTTCTCTGTGATTTGATGAAAGAAACTGATTTTGTTTGCGCCCTTTTTGGGCCAGATTTCAATTTCTGGGCTTTACCTTAGCCCAAAACAAAGAGCCAATAGGGTAGGGAAAAGGAGCGTTCATATTTTGTGCTAAAATATAAAAAGAAAAATTGTTAAGAAAAAAAAAAATCCGTGAGGGGTTGAGCACCATGTTAAGTAAATTAAGCTTTAATAAAAACATTAATATTTAATTTATTTATTTATTACGACGGCATAATGGTTTTGTTCATGTCCTTAGGAATATTATTAGTCTTTACCCAACAAAAACAAAATTGGTGGAAATACTTTTTTAAAAAAACCATGAATAAAAAAAGTTTATCATGCAAAGCATGGATTAGAGGACATTGTGTTATTATAAACTTGACTTGACCGTAAATCCTATATGTAGAGCTGGGTATAAGGGCCTACGTGGCTAAATGTATGAGTTGGTTTAACTCATGATGTGGGTTAAACCAACGCATTACTAAAAACAGGTCTACAAATTTGATCTGTTTAGTCCATGAGTTAATAAATTAAGATGTGTTAACATGCTAAACCGCATCTTTTCTTAAACAAAAAAAAAAATCTTATTTTCTACATTTTAAACTAATTTTTTCCAACAATTTCTCTTTCAATCCATTTTTTGCTTATGTTTCCTCTCTGTATAGTTTGCTAATCCAACAAAAGAGACTTCAAATTTTACTTCAAAATCATATCAAAACACAAAAGAGGGTGGGATAATTAACTCTCTAATATGAATATTCGCACACCCCTCTTTTTTTATGGTGTTTTTCAATTATATTCCTATTTAAAATTAAAAAAATAATGTTTAATAATTATTTTCTTATTTTTTCTTATTTTTTTCATATAATAATAATACTGAATTTCAAAAATATATAACCTGATCAAATTCCTCACCACTAAGTCTATTTCTAATAACTTATTTATTCTCAATTGTAAAATAACTCTTCCAAAGTCTGAACAAATCTTTGGTACTACAAAAGTACTGTACATCCTTTCCAAAAAGTTGAAAAATTGAGATTTAGATAGAAATAAAGATAAAGATATTATTCGTTTAAATGAGATAATAATTTCCTTTTTAAGAAAAGGGGAGTACCGAATTATACAGAAGAAAAATTCCCAAAGTCCACCCACCTGAATTGAAAATTATTATATGCAAAAGGACCTGACCGAGCAAATCCCTCAAGGAAAAAAATTAAGAGAGAACATTTTGAAATAAATAGACATAAAACCAGTACTAAGTTTCAATAATATGATCTCCAAATAATTAATTTATGTTCTATTAAAATTGCTGTGACAGAGGAAGAGGATTTTAAGAATATAAGCAATGTAATTCTTTGTAAGTATTGATATACAAGTAGTAGCCGTACAACTTATAATACTATGCTGGTGACATTAAAAGCAGTTTTGACCGAAGTAGTTACTGTAGAAGAAGTGATAATGGTGGGGGTGGCTACTACTCCAGCGAAAATGGTAAACATAGATGTGACATGAATAACGAAGTTAAGCAATTAGTACGAAGTAAAAAATAGCCGATAATTGTGTTTCGGGAGGTAACATGCATCTCAATTATCGCTTTCTTGAAATTAAAATTCCTAGTCTAGATTAAGAATTAAGAATTAAGAAAAGTTTCGTTCAGTTTCAACTTCATGGAATAGTAATAAAAAAATTCGAGTTTTAATTTTGAAACATACCAAATGGAAGTTTTATATGATGGCCAATTTCTAACGTTGAATTCTATTCCCAATTCCAGGCACAAAATGAACAGAAGGGAAGCTCGTTTCCAATGCCAATATGGTAGGTACAGCAAGATATCACATTCGAAGAACAGTCTTCTTAAGGATTGTCTACAGCTGGAGAAAGTGAAATCATGCTTGATACAGATAACAAAATAAGCACATAAAACCAAATTGACATCAAGAGATCCGCCCTGAACTATGATTGTTATGATCACAATCTTCCACGACCGCATATCACTCCATCTGCATCAAGAAGCCATGTCATTCAAAATTGTAATTGTAATGAAAAACAATTGAGTAAGAGAGTTTTGGAGAAATGTTGACAGTAATTAAAAAAAAAGGGTCCACCAAGCTGCTATACAAGTTCTCCAATAACATGCAAGAGAAACCAATTTCATATTATATTTAAAGTCCGCACTACTCACAATTCTAAGTAAATAAAAAAAATCATCCTTGGTCAATAACTTAACATGTATCAATGAGATAAAGGCTGTTGACAAATTATCTTGGTCTGAGATGTTATCCTAAAATGATTCCAATTCCATATTTGATTTGACCGTAGATAAGATTCACCCTAATTTATACCATCACACTTCAAAACTTGTTTGAGATTCACTAGCACAATTTTAAGGAGGTGTTTGTTTAAAGGTATATGTTTACAGTCTCGGGAATAACATTCCTTGAAATAAATGAACACGTATGTTATCAAAAACATGCTTGGTTTACCATTTAATATATTTGAGACTATATTTTTAGAATATAAATGATGAGTTAGAAGATAAGTCCCATGAGAAAGCACATACCCACCCCTCATCACAAGAATAAAAATCACGCAACACATGGGAATATCACTTTTTAGGAATCAGTAATGTCCAAGAATACTTTTTTAAAGCTTAAATCAAACATAGGAATATCATATTTACTTTCCCAATTATAACTTGACAATCCTCGAAACAAATGCACCCTAAGATTTATAAGCACATCTTTCTTTAAAGATAATTACAGTTGGTGTTAACTGTTACATGCACTTTATATAGCAACTTTAATAGGTTTAAATATATTCATCCAATACATGCACTACAAATATATTGGATGTCAAAATAATTCAACATTTTTTTAGGTGTAATTAGGTATAAATATGTCAAAAATGAATGTATTAGAGAGAAAGTTGGAGTGACATCTACAGAGAAAAAGATGGTAAAATTGCACCTAAGATAGTTTGGACATGGCAAAGAAGACCAATAGAAACACCCGTCAAGAGAGTTGATCAGATGAAGGTAACCTAAAAAATTAGTGGTAAAGGTAGACCAAGAAAGACTCTAAATGAAACCACTAAAGAGAATCTAGAATTAAATGGCTTTTTTAAAAGATAGATGGGGTTGTTCGATTCATGTATCCAACTCCACCTAATGGGAAAAGGCTTTAGTTGTTGTTGTAGTAGTTATATATTAAAGATTATGATGCCATGCAGAACTGCAGATGCAATCATCATTCTACAAATTCAAAAGTAGAAGGGAAACCTTTTGACGTTTTGGATTTGGGGGGCTTGGTTCAGAATCACTCTGTCTGCGCGAAGTCCCAACATCAGTTTCAACCTGCACACATATTCACTTGTCAGCTTTTCTTTCTTTCCTATTCTCTTTAGGAGAGGATAATTGCAATATTTAATTTTCACAACTAGATAATCTCTGGTTGACCATGGCAAAATGAGAAACAGAAAATCTTCCTTCATAATCTCTCCGGGAAGGGTGAACTAATGGGATTTGAACCAAGGGTACAAAAATTAGAATTCACCCAATAGGTGTAGCTCCATTGACAACACAGGCTGAGTAGGTAAGGAGAGAACCTAGGTTTGATTCCCACCAAATATATCTTTAGGAAGGGAGAAAGAGCTTCAACTGTGACTAAGCTCCGACTCGGGATTAGTCTAATACCCTGCTCAAAAAGTTGAAGCTTAGGGGGTTATCCGAGGGGCCGACTAGTCTCAAAGAGGTAATTAGAATCGGTATTAAAAAATTAAAATTGGAATTCCCACTTTCAAGTTTCAACTATTGGGATATTACAAGTGTCCATCAAAGTCCTGAAGTTCTCATGGTGGTTGAGGAGAAGGGCTTCTGAAGTTGACATAAGAGCAAATTAAATCACACAATAGAATCAGGAAAGAAAGCAATGAAGCATGCCAACCTGGGTCGAAGAATCTTGAGCCATTTGATCTTCAGAAGGATTTCCCTCAGATCCTAATTGTTGAGATATGACAGGCATGATCTCGCGGAGTAAATTAGACAAAAATATTCCTTCATCGCTAACGCTGGGTTCTGCTTCTGTTGATAACTGGACAGCACCCCTTGATGTTGCAGCATGCCCTGAGGTAGAACCCGCAGTTGTTCCTTGTAAATTTGAATCTTCGACATGAATTTCTCCACCAGGAAAGAGTGCCCTTAAAAACTGAAGTACATTGCTAGGTATCTGTCTCTCAGGTTCTTGGTTGTTTTGGGACCCACCAGCTGCCATAATATTGATATTCACAACACGAGAATTTGATGGCTCTTGCCTCGTGCTTGGAGTTGGTAAGGATCCTATAATAAAGTCCAATAACAAACAAATAAAATCAAATTAAGCACAGAAGATATCCTAACTTACTCTACACATCACATAATATCTTAGAAGTCAACAAAATAAGTAACCAGTCACAAAGTGATTGATCATATGAGCAATCAATTGAGTGATCACAAAGTGATGGACTATATGAGCAACCTATTGATTGCTCACAAAGGGATGGAGTCACAGAAAGAAACAAGAAGCTGGACTGAAGAGTACAAAGCTGTACATGTATAAAAGTAAATACTTTTCTAAAAGATATACTTACAAGGTTTATAAAAAGAAAATAAAACCAGTAACAATATTTCCTACTCAACAAATGAATCAACACAAATTGACTTCAATTAAAATTTGATAATCACAATAAGTCAATCATATTTATTATCTGGAAGCCATCTTTATTAGACAACTTACAACTGTAGAGGACATTACATCCAGGATAAAGTAAATTCAGACAGTTAATGAATTATATCCACCCAAAAACACCACTTGGACTATCTATCTTAAAGAATTAAATGGAACATTGTTATCAAGAGTTTTGGGAAATAATAATGTTGCACTTGCAGTTGACACTTGAGTTGTCACCTTTGAAATGTCAGTCGTCCATAGACAAATCAAAGGTGGTGAGATATGAGAGAAAAAGAATTAGAATAGAGATTGATGTAAGGATAACCATTGATTTGTTGATGAACGACTAAGATGGTGTCACTTGACCTGATCATGTTATATGACACATGAAAAATAGAAATTGAGAGAAGTCCAATTTTGCAATTCCTATTTTACCTTATATTGTTTCTTTTCAGTTTACTCCACTGACCATATACAAAGTAAAATTCTTTGAGAAATTATTATTGATGTATGACTTCAGCAATAAAATAATGATTCGTAACATTGCACTGAAACAATTTCTGTCGATTATTCTCAAATTTCAAACAAGTCAAATAGGAGAAATGGGAAGAATGCAATACCAAATTGAGTAGAAACATATCCTAAATCAGTTATCAATAGGCACCCACTATTTTAGCAAACTATAAAATGATGATTTTGGATCACAAACTATGCCTATCAGTGAGGAAAACACATTAATGCAATATCAAACTGGAAACTTCTAATACAAGAAAGGAATTATGAGTCTGAAATGTTAAAATGCTCATTTGTTAAATTACCATTCCTTGCAGAATCCTCCATGCTCTGCCTTTGCAAAGTGGATTCAGGAGTTGACTGTTGCACAGCATGATGCTGACTTGGTGGTTGAGATCCCTGTTCACTATTTGCATGCCCGGAAGATATATTTTGAAATCTACCAAGAACTGGATAGTAAAGCCCTATAGAATTACCAGATGGTTCTGAAGGCGGACGACCTAAGGGACCTGGTACAGCTGCAACCATGGTTCTAATTGGCACTATCCGTACTCCTGGTTCCCCAGCAATAGATGTATCCGGACGCCTAGAGGTTGCTTGATTAACGGAACTTTCACCTGGATTTCGTTGTACTGAAGCAGATTGTGTGTCACCCCGCTCTTCTTGATTGTCATTGGGTGTGGTTGCTGATGTACCTAACGTAATAAAGTTAGCTAGAAACTAAAAAGCATTATGCAAAAACAAAGGACCTAGAACACAGAAAAATAAATGAATATAACATACCTCGTCGTATCTGTATATCAATACGCCTTGGGAAAAAACTTGAGCTAAGTCCACTACCAAAGCTTGGGATAGATTGTGCAGCTCCCACAGGGACAGCACCAAAGCTTGCTCCGGGTTGAAAAGGAAGAGGCTGGAACCATGCATTTCAATAAGCAACAGCAAGATAGTTTTCATGACAAGCAAGACAAAAGGACAAGTACAACCTGAACCATGATATGGTTAGGACCAGATGGGGATATAAAAACTGCAGGCCCACCATTAACTATGGCTTCAGACTGCAAAGGAAGTTAATTAGTAGCACAAACAGAACACTTAACTAACACAATGCCAAAGACGGGAAACCAAGCCTACCGGCGTTTGACCCAAACGCAATGTCATGGTTGTGCGACCAAGCTCAAGTAAAAATGCACCAAGGTTATAAAACAAAACTCCAGTCCTCATAGCCCAAGACTGAGTGCTTGACCGCAGCAAGGGATCAGTTACATTTGCTTGATTCTCCAGCTGTCTTGCAAGTTGCTGTGAAAGTATATAATGAACTCACAGCAAATTTCTATGTTTGGTGAAATAAAATGATAACTATAGCTCAAAACAGATACTTGAGAAACTAAAGAAGAAAATAGCAAGAATAAACACTTGTTTCTACTATTGAATTGTCAGGTGGTCAGTTTCAATACTGAAGAAAAAACTAAGGAGTTGATTTAGAACCCACAAGTAGGCACTCCCCAGCTTGTTCAATGATCATTTGTCTGGTAGAAAGCAAGACTTCTGCCAAGGATGCGGGTGATGAAAGCCCTTCTGGTGTTGAACTCATACGTGATGAAACAGACCCCATTTCTTCATTCGTATGAGCCTCAGCTGCTTGGACATTATTCCCCCCTTCCCTGACTGCCAGTAAAATGTGTTTCATCATTCTCAAAGAAGAAGCACACAGCAGCAACCAACACAGGATAACTATAAAATTCAAAATGGTAAGCTTACCAATTGCATCAAATTCATGGCTTATGTGACTTAGGTATTGGGACAAAGTTGTTAAAGAATCAGGAATAACCTACAAAAACATGTGTAAACTAGTTAGTAAACCATGCAATGCATTTTTTTTAAAAAAAAACATTAATTAATTTGTGCAAAGTAATTGATGTAAATTGTAATTGTTTACTAAATAGTTTAAATATGATACTCAATCTTATTTAAAATTTGAAAAAAATCCTAAAAAATAGGGAATTGATAAGAAATTAAATGAAAACAGATAAAAAAAAAAAAAAAAAAAAAAAACTGAGGAATCAATAGGGAATAAACAATGCATAAGAAATTGATAGGGAATATGATACAATTCAGATCAAGAAATACGATCTGAATTGTATCAGAATATAACAATAAAAAGGAGAGATGTTTTTCAATGGTGAAGCAATGTCTCAAATGGAGGAAGAGAGTACATAGGAGATTATCTGAATTGAGATCTCTCTTTTTTTATATCAGGGTGAATAAATAAAATGTTTAATTTCCACTCAACAAGAGAGAGAGACTCAAATGTCAAATCTGATTAAAAAAAAATATGTACATCTGAATGCAGTAAATAAGGAACTTAGCACTTACAGGAGGCTGCAAAGATCCTAGAGAAACTGCTGCTGGAAGTCCAAAAGTATTACGCGATCTATCAGACAAAATCCGCAAACCAGCTTGTTCAGATTGAGGATGAGATGAATGAGATATTCCAATAGGACCCGAATTTCTTCCAAAGCCTTGGAACTCATGTTCCTTCATCCAATACAGTATATTCGAGTTGTCATGTTTTAGATTTTCAGATGAATAGACACATCAAGGGACATGTATATCCTTATAATTTGAAAATACTAACATAAATACTTTTGTTTTATAAGAGCAATTCATTTAATAAAAAGAGGAATGCTAAGGTACAGAGAAGGAGAACAAGATATCATCCTTAAACAGTGACAACAAAAGAAAACACAAAATTATCATCACATGATAGCTTCAAATGTCAACATCAACATCACATTTTTCCGCAACTAGTTGGAGTTGGCATTGGCAATCAATGAACCCAAAAAAAGTAAGGAAAGATTTGAGGGAAAAGAAGAAAAAGAAAAAAATTAAAAAATTAATAAGAGAGAAAAAAGTAAATTAGAGAGGAAGATAAATAAATAAATACATGATAGCTTGAAATGTAAAATCATAGTTTATTTCTTTGTTTTTCTTCATCTCTCTCTCTCCCCATCTCCTTTCCTTTCATTGTCCTTCCTCTTCGGTTTTGGTAAAGGACCATACAGACTGAACATATTATTTATCTCCACTAGTTTCATTTCTTTAGCATGTTTGAGTATAAAGAATACTCCATAACACATTTTTTATCAGTGGTTTTTGTTTTTTTTTTTTTTTTTGGGGGGGGGGGGGGGGGGGGGGGGGGAGGGATGTGGGGTGGTTGTTTTGCATGATAAATTTGTCAATTGTCATAGTGTAACACCAACAAAAGATAATGAACTAACATATAAAAGGCTGAATTTACCCTGACATCAATCCCTTCACCACCACTTGCAAAATTTGAAAGTCCAATAGATCCTAGAACAGCAGAAACAATCTGCACAGGAATAGGATAAAAGATAAATCGACATATGCAAAACAACCCATAAATTTGCCTCTGTTCTCTTCTAATTTTAAATATACCCTATTGATTTCAGGAGGAACTCCATCACCCTGAATGGGCACGTTGAAAGTTTCAACAAATACACCAGGGGCTACTTGATTTTGATTACTGTGGCCATGGCTTGTGCTTGAATTTGGTTCAGTCACTACAAAATGAATGTTTAGCAGTAAATATCATTTCACTTTGTATTTAAGAAAAATTTTCATTTGGCTGGGCATGGTTGTACACCACAAAACAAGATCATCTAGAGAATCCCCACTGCCCCCCATCCCCAAAAAAAATTATAAAGGTAATAATTGAATATTGTTAGAGATATATAAAACTATTAATATAGCCTCACCCAACAACTTAAGCTTTTGAGTTGAATTAGTTCTTTATATGGTATCAGAGCCTCGATGTCACGGGTTCAATCACCCCCCCCCCCCCAATTTAGTCTTGTGAAGTTTCTTAGCACAGGTAGATGGGCATGTGCATTTTCCACCCATCAAGCCCAGTGAGCTCTCGTGTGAGGAGGCGTGTTAGAGATATATAAAACCATTAATGTAGCCTCAATCAACAGCTTAAGTTTTTTGGTTGAATTGGTTCTGGTGTGTACTCAGTTGAAGGGGAGCATATCAATGGTGGGTTTCACACTTGAGGGGGAGATTATTAGATTATTCAAGTGTGATAAGTCTTACATTGATTGGTAACGGGCTAAGTGAAGTCCATATAAGTAAGAGGACCCATGTACCTAATACCTTAAGGTTTTGGGTTGAAACATTGTGTCGGACCCACTTAATACAGTTGGTGTAGCTTAGCCTATTGATGATTGTCTCCCGCCATGGACTCCTCTTGGACCCGCCTGACGGGGTTCTTTACAAATATTAAGACAAATTTTTTGAGTTTCTTCTTTTACAAATTAAGTATAATCTTACAGAACATTTTTCAGCACAAAATCTGGCACAAATGTTATGGAACTAAATTAATTATTTAGTCAAATTCTTGCAGGTGCACGTGATCCGTGACACTGAAAAAACTTACCTAATTCTCCAAGCATAACATTTAAATTTGAAAACCTACTTTGTCAGCAAGTTGAATGCAACTCATGTTTCTTTCCCCCGGGCATGCTTTAATAAGTATAAGATGGAAATACAATAAAGAGAGTCAAACTAAGAACATCCACTTTAGATGACTGGCAAGGTGAGGGTAGCAGTTAAGGTATGCCTCAACCACAAAGACATAGGCAATTTCTTATTTTGAGAATTTTCTATATAAAAAAAAAAAATTTATTCAAAACAATTGCCACAAAAGAAATTAGAAACCCACACTATAAATACTACAAAACAAGAGCACATAACTCTCACATTAATTACAAAAGCAAATGATAATGTATATAATCACATCAAACCTGAATGATTGGGCAAACTTCCTGGTGGTGGTAGACCAGGTTGCCTTACAACCATATGCAAGGTGTGACCATCTTCAACATCTACTTGTGTTAGGGAAGAAACACATGTTGAATAAAGGATATGAAAACAGACAGGGATATAATCACAAGAATCTAAGTACAATTGCTAGGGGAATAGCAGCAACGAAACTTGTTTGTCATAAAAATCATTACATTTAAATTTAATCAACCTTTAATACTAATAGAAGGCACAACATTTGTAAACTTAAGTCGTAAACAGGCATGCTTCATTGTTTTGCTCGTAAAATTATTAACTATTGAGATTCGATCGTAATATACTTGTTAAACCCAAAAAAATAACATAAAAAACTATAATATGGCCAAATATTTTAACTTCCAAATACTTCTTTATAAAGGTGCAAGCAATTGGGCAAACAACCCAAAAGTCATTTCTCTGTAGAAATGTTACTGTTATGGCTACTGTGTCGCCTTTACCAAAAAAAATTTCTTTGGTGGACCCTTTTGCCCTAAAATCCCAAACTCTTAATAAGATGTTTGATGACAAAATAAAATATACCACATGGTTACAGTAAGGATCATAAATAATTATACATACACATAAGAGAGAAAAATTTACTGAAGTGGAAGAAGAAATGAGCACAAAAGCTAAAGATAGAGCATCCTGCTGGCTTTTTACCATTGTGCCCCCTATTTAATTAAAAATCACCACTATGCCCCATTCCCAAAACTATACACCAATCTGCCCTTATTTGACCGTTAACTGGACCATGTAATCAATTACAACATCCATGTAATCAATTAAATGATGTAATCGATTACACCAGTATACGGTAATGGATTACATCAGTGAACGCAGCCGTATAAAATTTTTATTACGAGAATTTTTTGGATCAAACGAGTTTCTATGGTCATACACTCATAATATTGGACTTGAGGAGGGGCTTTGTGGTATCACAAGACCTAATGTGGAACTAAATTTGGGATATTTTACCGTAAAATTTCGAAAGGCCATAACTTTGGCCTCGGGTGCTTTAATCAGGTATTTTTTTTTATTTCACATAACTTTTCGAGACGAACGCCCTGACAAGTACCCAAAGAGGACTTGGTCAAAAAAAATTTCCAAAAAATGCTTCCTTGTGCCCCGTTTGGTATATTTTATCTATGTGGATAATGTTATTTAATTCTTATTCTTATTTCCACTCTCCAACACTAAAAAATAATCATTCTAGCATGTAGCTCTTGAAAAGTTATGTGGAATAAAAAAAAAATCACATGATTCAAACTCTCGAGTAAAAAGTTATGGTTTTCCTAAGTTTTAGGGTAAATTTGGGCCATGTAATCGATTACGTGACTAATGTAATCGATTACATCAACCAGTCAACAGTCAAACAGGAGCAGATTGGTGTTAAGTTTTAGTAAAAGGTCAAATTTTTAAAGAGAATAAAAATGGGGGCATACTGGTAATTTTTATTTTAAAAAAGGGCACAATGGTCAAAAATCCGCATCCTGCTACAAAAAGTAAAAAGGCAAAAAATGAATAAAATATGAAGGAAACACCAAACTATTTCAAGATTTTTTTGTAGTATGGTAAGATAGTAATTGGTAACTATGCTAAAACCCAAATCTTTTTTCTTGACTATTTAATGGGAAACCTGGCACCTTTGTTAACCTACTGCCAAGAAAATGCCACATTGGCTTCCTTTTTAGAGTCCTTGTACACAAAGTAGAAAGATAACGAGAAAGGATACGGTAGGCTGACAGGAGTTGGTCATCCTTTAGAACTTTTCCTTGGCAAATTAAGCGCTGCTGTTCTGATAACACTCCAGTTACAGAAGCAATCTGTTCTTTTAGAGCAGGGACTGGCATCTGCAAGACAGGAAAAATTGTGGGAGGGAGGGGCAATTAGTTACATCTTAACCTGATTGCTAAGTGATTACAAGATGCCATCCTGATGATCAAGATACCTTAAACGGGTATGTTTGTAATTTGGATAAGCTTTAAAAAAACCACTTTTATGAGATATCTTTATAGATCATTTCTTCAAAAGCTACTCTTTCTAGGTTTTCATAAAAGCACTAAAACAGCTTTTTTTAGGTTTTAGTTTTTTTCCAAAAACTTAATCAATTATTATTATTAAAAAATTTAAATTTTTTTAATTAAAAAGTGTTTTTTTCTTTAAACAGAAAGCACAAACAGGCCCTTAATCTTTTTGACCAGTTAAATATGTTTCTACTTGAAGGGGGAGCAAAAAACAAGATTATAAAAAAGGACAACCTGGTGTTATACAACTCCTGCTTTACTCAGAGTCCAGTGAAGGGTCAGACCCATTTTGTGGGTCTATAATAGGCAGCCTCACCTTGCATTTGCAAGAGGCTGATTACGTGAACCGAACCTGTGACCTCCAGGTCACATGGCGACAACACCAACCATTGTGCCAAGGTTTCTCTTCAAGTTATAAATACAGAAAATATAGTGTAGTGAAGAAATTAAAAAAAAGAAGAAGAAGAAAAAATACTAGTCAAAGAATTACCTGTTTATCCACTCTTAGGGTGTAAGTTTGTGAATCCAATGTTTTAATCTTTATCTCAATAGTGGTTTCTGAACTTTCAGTGTTGTTATTGCTAGGGATCTTCTCAGTACCATTGCTTCCCATTCTCTACAGACCACGCAATACCCTATAAATTGTTTTTTTTTTTTTTGGAATCAGGAACGATTAGTGTTCTGTTGGTATTTCTTTTTCTTACATGACATAAGGAGATAATTGAACAAATCATGTGAAACCAATTAAACAATATAAAATGAAAGTAGTATACACTGCCATATTTAGAAAAGTTAATATTCAATTAATACTACAGCTTGCTCGCCAAATACCCATCTTAACAGAAGTATAAAAGCCTCCTCACATGTGAAGATAAACTAATAATGGATTTTGTGAATTATATGAAATTTTAAAAGTTGACATGATTCCAAGATCATCAAACCAACGCATAGAGTAGATATGAAATAAAATACAACTCTAACAATACAACATGTGGGCTTGAGTGCACACTGCCTGGGTGCAACTCCTATCCTAAAAACTTATGATATAGAGGAGAACCCACTCCCTTAAAGCAGCCTGATAAGAGGGGAGAGCCTCTACCACAAATGGGAGCTGTGTTGCACACCCAGTCGATATGGGACTCATACTCCTGCATCAACCCTGTCAGGTTGGAAAGAGCATCCCAACCACACCCGCGATTAGACAAACCAGACTTTGATACCATTTGATGTAGAGGAGAACCCACTCCTAAAAGTCATGCTGGTAAGAGAGAGACACCCTATACTATTCTGTGTCTCAAGCCCAGCCCAAAAGGGATTCATGCTCCAGGTCCTGCGTCAACTTATCACCATGGTAGATGATAGATTGAAATTCCAAAAAAATCCCAATAAGCTGAACTTGAAGCACACCTTCAAACTCAAGCTAAACAAGAGTTAACTAGGATTACCCTCACTCGAGCTGATTTGCAGTGTAACCCAAATACAAATTTAAAAATCTACCTCATTTTGAGATGAGCTTTGTTAACTTTGCCAACGCACATACACCAACGAAGAAAAATACATGGTAAGTTAGATTTATAGAAAGATATACAACTGCATTTAATAATTGGGGGAATGATAAACTACCGTAATCCCACAAAAATTGGCCTTCCCATCCCCCCTTGCAACAGTATATCTGTTTAAACAGCCAACTTCAAATATGCTAGAGCTCCTGACCCAGAAGAATGCATATTTCATATTCAAAATTTGTTGATCGCAGCAAATAGATGACATTAAGAAATAAAATCCATATTAGAAGCTTTTCATTAAGTTGGTTAATCAGACTGAGACAGTGAAGATATGAAAATCACAAGGGACTTAATTGGTCAATTGAAAATGCAGGCACTAGATTAAAACTTAATCAATTTAGGAACAAAAGAAAGAGAAAATCTAGTCTAGAATAACAACAACAACAAAAAAAAAAAACTACATGAAAATGTTATATTCCCAAACTTTGCCAAAATGTCATGCAAACTAATGCTGCAAATCGCAATACGTTATTGTCATGGTGACTTAAAATTCAAGCATAGTTAACTGATTCTGTTTTGGATTTATACCTTGACATTCTTATATCAGACAATAAACAAGTCAACAACCAACATCAGCGATTCCAAGCCATCATTAATATGTGGATAGAGTTCAAGCTTCAATCAGAGCACCTTATATATAATTTGGCACATTCAACAAGCTCAGTACAATTTTGGCTCATTTACACCTTTAACATTGCCAATATTAATAGCATTATGAAAAAAGCCTCAGCACAGGTATTTTAAAGTAATTAATGATAACCGACAAAACGAGAAAAACCAGCCGCAAAAAAGAGGCCAGAATCCGACAAAATCACAAATAGTTACGAAAATTTTATTGCATTTGAAAATTTAAAAAACTTCATACCTGATTACATCACAATACTTTCCTCGATCAGACATTTGAGCCCGTTTCTTATTAGCGAGTATAAGTTAACTTAATACCTACACTTTCTCACATGCCAAATAGAAGGCATTAAGCAAATTCCCATCCCAATAAACAGAAAACCCGGTGCTATAAAACTCCTGCTATGCACAACATCTAGGAAAGGTTCAAATCCATTGTGTGAGATTATAATAGATAGCCTTACCTTGCATTTGTAATAGACTTATTACATGAATCGAACCTAAACCTTCGGATCACATGGTGACAACACTAACCGCAATGCGTTGCCAACACAAATGCAAGTCTCAGGATCAATTCATGAACAAAACAAAGGTTGAACATGTGATCGCCGTATCACATTCCCATCCCAATGAATCAAAAAATATATTTAAAGAAAGTGAACAGCATTTGTATCTTCATAGATCACCAAATGTGCCAAATCATTGAAGAAGGAAGAAAGCACCGGCTCAATATCAGTTTACACCTTCCCTTAAGATAGGGCAAAAAAAAAAAACTACTTTATAGCTATAGTTCAAGAATATCCCGGAACTTCGTAAATGAGGAGATCAAAATCACTTTTGATGACGTAAACTAAGTCAGGAAAAGGAGCCACTGTGCTACCAAAACGTGCAAACCACCCGAACTTGAATGATTGAGAAGAAACACAAACCTATCAAGAGCGAAACGAATTCGCTGACACAATTTCACTCTCGTAGACAGATACAAACATAAACATTATTTGAGGAAAGGTGTAAAATTAAAAACCTAGTCGTGAAGAACAGCGATGATTAATGAACAGCAGCTATCCTAGCCTAGGTTGAATATTCAGCGAATCAGAAACGAAAAACCAAATACGATTACTATTATAATAATAAAATGAATACTATCATTATATATAAAAGCAAAATCGGAATAGAAAACAAAGCATGAGAGAAAATTGAATAGCGGAGAAAGGAGAGAGCATGAAGAAGGTGAATAGGAATCAACCTGAGAGCAGAATCGATGGGGAATTAGGGATTGAAGGGGGTGTTGCAGCTTTGGCGCTTTCACCACTAAGTCTCGCGCACACACATAGATTTTCTTTCACCTGAACCAAGGTAGAGTAGAGCGCATGCAATTGTATCTTGCAACCTGGAGCACTGGATTATCCCCCACCAATTTTTACTTGGACTTGCATTTGGAAATTGGAAGTGAGTCGGTCGCCGCCGTTTTTTCTTTTTTATTTTATTTCCAATGAATTTGAAAACTGCTACTTAAACGGTTTAATTGCCTTGTCATTTTGTATTTCCATTTTTTTATTTATGTTTTAGGAGGAGATTATATTTACTATCTTCGTTCTTAGGGTTTGGTGTTTGTTATAACACAAGTTATGTCATTTTAAGAAAGAGACAGACATCAATGAATGAAAATCATGGAAGAGAAAGTGGATGATTTTTTTTTAATTTAATTTTTAAATAAAAAATATTTTCTTCTGTCTATCTCTCTTAAAATGATATAATTTTATGTCATTTAAAATAATAAATATAAAACCCTTTTTTATAAACAATTTTCCCTTATTCTTATTATGTATTGTTATTAAATTTTAATCGTTGATTTCTGTTAATTTAATAATTATAATTTAATAAAAATTAATAAGTATAATCTAATAAATTATAACCATTAAACTGACAAAAATCAGATCTTATTATTATAATTGGATGAGTTATCTACAGATAGAATCATCTGCACTCAATATCATACATTAGTATTGTGTCTTTTCATAACAAGGAAGTTGAGTAAGTAAAAAAAAAAAAAAAGAATTTAAATATTTTTATCTCTTACTCATTTCACGCTACAAATTAGTCTTATAGATGACTCGTCGAAACTTAAGAAAATATTAAAGAAAGACAATTAGTCTTAAAAAAAATAGTTAGAGTTAGTTAACTTAAAAAAAATAATAAATTGTGTCGTTTTATTATAAGATATAATTATATTAGTTAAAAGAAGTAGGACAATTAGATTTATATATAACACTCGGCATAATTATTTTCAACTGCACCTGATCGTAATTCTGTGCAGGAAAGCCTTGAATATTTATCCTCAATGAAAGTTCGTTAAAACTAGCGCCAAAATTTTACTGCCATCAACTTTTTTAAATTAAGAAAGTTTTTCATATAACAGTACATTTTTTTTTAACAACCCAAAAAAGATTGTTTTGGGATTTAGGATAAAGATGTATAAATTTAAAAAAATTATTCTTTTTATATCATGAATTTTATTAAAATTATTTTAGAATTGCAAGAGTAATATTAATTCTTTAGGGGGCATTTGTTAGAAGAGAAAAAATTGTATCCGCGGAATCATGATTTTTAAGAATATGATAGGAAAGTTATTTTTTTTGAAATGTTATTAAAAAGTTATTTGTAGTGCAAAATACTACCAAAATTTTATTCCAAAGATAGTATAAAATTTTTCCAACACCAGAGATTCCAAGAATAACACTCTTTTGGGAAAAAATGTACACAAACTAAAATTTCGAAAAAATCAATTTCTCTAGAAAATTTTCAAAAACCTTATATCAAACATGATAAATAGGATTACTACTATCTTTTAAGGGAATATCAAAAATTCTCCCTACCAACGGGTGTTTGTTAGAATTTTTTTTTTGAGATTCCCATTAAAGTGAACTTAAAAATTCTATTTAAACATTTAGTACAACGTTTGTAAAATTTATCTTGGGAATTCAATTTTCCTAGGATTTGGTTTGTGTTCCAAAATACCATAAATAAGTAAATAATTATCTCATGTTACATGAGATAATTATCTCATGCAACAGAGATAAAATAGTGGGATAACTCATGCAACATGAGATAATTATCACCATAAAATTAAAAAAATAGTAGACTCCACTATTTTGTCTCTGTTGCATGAGATAATGAGATTAATAGATCTCAAATAAATATCATCATAAAATATTAAGATTAATATTTTTCCTATAAGATGAAGATAACTTTATCTTTATCTCGTGCACTTATTTAAAGTGGATGAGACCTTATACGGAAAGCAAAGACAAAGAGAAAAAAATGACTTCATCAATTTTGATGTGAATATAGATACAATTATTTTCATATTGCCGAAATAATTCCCTGAAATATTATACGAAGATATTTTTGAATTAGCTTTCCAGCCAATTTAAACAAGTCTTTTCTCAAATCGGGCGAATCCTTCACATTAAGACGTAGTGCGAAATTGGAGTTAGATTACCAAAATTAATTTTATATTTTTCCTGGGACTAAATATTACACTATATGTTTTTTTAATAATTTTAAAAACTAAATAAATCTTAAAAACATTCGGCGGCTGTGGTACAAAACTTTGGTACCCGAATATTTAAGTGGGTATTTCATTTTTTCACATTTGGTATAAAAATAAATAAAAATTCTAGCCATATTAAAAAAAATTCACATTGAAAAATATTTGTCCAAACAAAATTTTGGTACTCCACTTTTTCACATGTGAAACATTTTCAATGTCACGGGATTTTTTTTCTCAAAAGTGATAAATTTTTTCTAAATATAGAAAAAAAAAAGTCCATTTAAATATTCTCATTATACCAAAAATTTGTTCGCGGCGATGTCACTTGCTAGCCCGCCCGCCGCTTCTTTTCTTCTCCTTTTAACATACTCTCTTTAATTAATAAAATTTTAATGTTTCTTTTTTTTTATCACTTTTTAAACATTTTTCTTATCTATTTACATGTATGCATATTTTTAGTATGAGATAGGTAATATATACTACTCATAATATATAGTATAATTTGTAAACTTTTGTAAATATAATCTATCTCTTTTAGTATAAATTAAAATATGTGCAATTGTTATTTTATGGAAGTTTTGATAAAAAAAAATAAAAAATCAGCAACCATGATGGGACTATTTGTGTAGAATGTTGTGACTGAAAAGTACACTTCAATTTAAATATTTATATTAGTTATTATAATACTTAGATTCTATTTGTTGGTGCTTTTTTCAAGAAAAACAATTTAGTTTCAAAAATATTAAAAAAATTACCACAAATATATGATTTTTTTTTAAAAAAAAGTAATTTTTTAGTATTTCACTAGATAAAAAATAGCTTCTGAAAAAAATCACATCATCAAAGTATTTTTTTAATTTTATCTAAAGACTCGTGTAAATATTTTAAAAAAATAACCATACCCACATGAAGTGTATTTATCTTTAATTACCATCTTAGAAAAGACTTAATTTTAATTAACGTATAAGTTAAGCTTTTACTACCCTAACCATATAAAGAAGAAAGTGTATAATATAATTTGAGATTTGTTTAATGAAGTAAGGAGGTTACAGCAAAGATAGCAGTGCTAATTCTGTGCTTGTACAGAAATATTTGCATAAATTTAATATATTTAAGTTTTGTATAGCTAGTCAATTTATTATTAATTAATAGATGATCATTACAATTAAATAGTTAATTATCACAATTAATAATATGATTAGTTTATAATACTTAGAATGCATTATTAATTTTATGTAATAATTTAACTCCCTGGACGTGGGTCTATTAGAAAAGAGACACTGTCATTTGTTACCACGAGAAAATGACAGGCATTAGCATTATAATAACTTGACATAATTATGGATTTGGCTAAGGGGCTTAACCAGTAAGTTCTCTTTCTGTCTCTCAGAATAATTGAAGTTGAATCGATGACAAAAAAAATTTATTGTTTACGGTGTGATTGGTCTCTTTATCAATCAAAATATTTACACTAAAATAATAGCAGCCTCTCAACAGGAAAACGCTCCAAGGTAAGCAATATGCTACTCTGTTTTGGTTCCACTTGATCGATAATCGAAAACTCTGGTTTTGTTTGATAATTTGGTTGAGATGAAACTTGAGTATTTATTCGTTGTTAATCTTGGTAGTGATTTGTGGTGGACAAATAAATATAATCTTTATTTGTTTGGTGCACAAGGAGTGACAATACAAATAGTATAGTACAGGATAAGTGATTAAATCATAAGAATTGTTTTTGGGTCATTGATTATTTGATGACCAATGCATTAATTTTTTTTAAAATTTTATGAGATGAATAAAGCAAAACTTTTTATGATACGATTTGTGATGTGTGTGTTATTTTATGCATAACGAAATTGGGATAATGAAATGTATGAGTTTTTTTTATGCTATGGATAAAATTTATAAACTGGTTTAGTGACTAACTAATTTTTTGAAATAAATCATCTCGTGTCTTATCTAATATGATTAGGTCATGTGAAATAATCAATTATTTATAAACAAAATAATGATGATGAGAGATAAGAAAATGAGTATGTAAGCTGTCAAAATTGGTCCGTCCATCCTATTAGCTCCTAGCCTGTATGAGTTAGGGCCAAAAAGCTCGCAAGGCAAAATGATCTACAATAATAAAAGCCTAAATGAGCTTATGGGTTATCCAAAATTACAATTTCAATTTTTTTTCATATTCAATACATTTAAATTTATTTAACAAATAAACAATTAAAACTTTCATAACATATTTTATACGAAATATAAATTTTTAATAATATATTTTTCTAAATAAAATAACATTTTAATATAAGTGAAATTTAAATTTTATTATCTTTGCTAAGTTTTGTAGTTAAATAATACCATTAAATGAATATTTTCTAACCAGAAGTCATAACAACATCATTCCTAAGAACAACTCTAGGGGAAAATCAAAAGGAGTGATAGAAAAATAATATTGATTAGTCCAACAAATATTAGGTTGGGCATAATCACACACGGTTGAAGGTAAAAGATGTTGATGACGAGAAAGGTTAATGACAAGGGGTCTTTGCCGAGATATTGGTTTGCTTGGCAAGATGGTTGATATGTAAGCCTAGCGTCTGAGCAGTTTGAGGAGACTGGGGGTACCTACGAGGCACTCTGACGTTGAAGTCAATTCCATATTCAATATAGTTCAAGTATTCAAATAAATATATCTTACCTGAATAGAACGCCTCTGTATTTATAGTGTAGAATGTCTTGCTTTATGCCGCCTTTCATAGAGCGGTGTCAATTCTCATTGTTGGGGAAGAGTGGCTTTTCGCAGGCTATTCCTTAGTTTCAGTATCTGTAATGGCAAGCTGGTGTTGTCTGAGCTGCTGATCTC